TACTTTTTTTTCAAGTATTACTTTTTTCACAGTATGAAAATGGGTATTCCTAATGTTTGGTGATCTATCAACTTTAGGGAGAGTGTCATATTCCAGTGATGTGTCATTCACCAGTGTTTACAACACTAGATGTTTTGCTTGTGTGTGCCATGCCAGTGTCAGCCCAATCTGCCCAGAATGCACTACTACCTAGAGCAGTGTTTCTCAAACTGTTCCATCCTAGGCACACTTATTTAGGAAATTAGCACACAGCCTCCCTTCCTTCACATAACCGTTAACAAACAGGAACATTCTTATGAATTTTATGAACCCTGATCTATTTCAGTGGCCTCATCCTGGCAGGAATTGACGGCAGAGAGCTCTAGTTCAGCCTCTCTCAGACATTCTTCATTCTGATTTTTATTCTGTCCATCGAACTTGAAAACTGAAGATTTAATTCTTTTTCTCATACTGTATGTAATGTTTCCAATATTCCAGTGCGTACCTGTTAAAGTCTGAAAGCAAATCACTGTCCTGCTTCACATTGGTTGAAAAACACTGACCTAATAATTCCAAATTTGAAATGAATTCCCACATACTGTACTGTACCTGTTACCTTCCTATAGCAAAGCCTACCAGAACATGTTTCCCTGAGCTGAGAAAGTGTGCAACCTCATTTTAAAGAGTGCTAGGTATCACTCTAAATTGTCTTTGGGCAGGCTGAATTTAATTTGGGATGGGTCACAAGCCTTAACAGTAACCCCCAGTGTACTGTACATTATTCCATTTCAAGACTCCAGCTCCAAATCTGACCCAGTTGTACAGCCTTAAGTAGAAACAAGGGACCCAGCCTTAATGAGCATAGAGACTGAAGTGAATTTCTCATCATATTGGTTTGAACTGAGTCCTTTGAATGGAGGGGATTGTGCAATACAGCTTTATTGAGGAGCATACTGTATTTCCCTGAAAATCTTAAATTGTTATTCCACAGCAGTGCACTATAGAAAGCTGATAAGCCACAGTGTTAACATACTAAGCCAGGTGAATTGAAGTCCTGAGCAGTGTGCACTCAAAGATGTAGGAACTATGTAGCACATGTGTGGAGATTTGTAGTGTAGGGCTGACTCCAAGCATGCTGTCCAGCCATGTAAATGTGTGTATAGTATTATTGAGAAGGACTGAAGTGCTATAGAGTCTGTTAATGCTTTGGGTTCCAGGATCAGAAATGGATGCTTGTCTTATATTAGAGCTTTGTAAATACTGTTTATTCTATTTCCTTTATGTGCATGATATTTTGATCGTGATTTTGATTTTTGACCCGGTTGTGTAAACACCCTTAGAAAACAGGAGATCTAGGCAAATATACTGTAGGGCCCTCAGGATCTGAGAATCAGTCTTTTAGATTTTTGCTTATGATCACACCACCAAAACAAGGCAATGAAATAAAATACAGCCTGTGTCTCAGAAGAGTGTTACCTGAATTGGAACTAATGGCTTACTCCGATGAAAGAACCAAGGTGATGCTTGAGAAACTCAAGTGACAACGTGAGCGTGCTCATTCCCTGCTGTTCCCACTCTTGCAGGAGGCGTACTCTGTGGCGCGGCAGTTCAACCTGATCCCACCGATTTGTGAGCAGGCTGAGTACCACATGTTCCAGAGAGAGAAGGTGGAGGTGCAGCTGCCAGAGCTCTTCCACAAGATAGGTACAGAGAGGGGCGATTGATCTAGACAAAACATGTAGATACTATTACATGTAGATACTTAAGTGATTTGCAAAATAAGTAAATAACATATTGAGTTTCATCCTTCTAGTCATCGACTAAATTCAAAGATAGGATATGCAGCTAATTTCTAGTATGGAAGAAGAGATTACAAATGAAAGGAGACCATAGAGCCTATTTTGTCTAGAAATTAATTCAACCAAATACCTCTGCTGTTTCTTGAAAGAGCCGGTGGAACAGCTAGAAGAAAGCTGTTCCGTGTGTTCCAAACACCAGCAACCATTGGTGTAAAGAAGTCATTGCTTTTTCAGTCGTAAATTCACTACCTTAGACAATTTCCAGTTGTCTTCATGGTTCTTTCTTTCTTTGTTTATCCTGAAGTAGATGTGCTCATGGATTTTCCCTATCTTTATACAGTATGTATTCAATTACGCAGTTACTATGTTTTATTAGATTTTTTTTATTAAATGATGCACCTGGTAAAGACATTTCTTGGTATTATATCCTGTAACAGAAGCAATTTGGACATCTAAGATTGTCTGCCCACAGTTGTAAGAGGCCAGAGTAAAGAAATGGAAAAGAAAGCTTTCACATCCCTAAGATAATATACTGATTAGATCAGGCAGATAAGATTCTTACCTGTGTATCCAGTGTCCTTTGCAGTATGAGTACAGTGTGGAGTCCTAATGAAGCTTGTATGGGGTGTATGTGTTGAAGATGTGCTGCCTGATGGAATCCTCTTTCTTTCCAGGTGTGGGTGCTATGACGTGGTCCCCACTGGCCTGCGGGATCATCTCAGGGAAATACGACAGTGGGGTACCTCCTTATTCTCGGGCATCTCTGAAGGTACCGCTAGCCCCATGGTGACTGGTGCACTGCAGGCACCTGGGCTCCTCTCTGTGTTTCCACCACACCCTGCTGTACTGCAGGGCCTTATTTTTCTCTCATGTTGTCATAACTGTTCCGAGTTTTCTTGAAACTCTTCTATGCAAACAGATGAGGACAATGTACAGTAAAGCCTCAACACAAACTGTACAGCCCAGACGTAAACACTGGTGGTAGTGACGTGAACTGACTTCTTAGAGATCTTCAGTATCCTAAAATCATGCATACTTCAACGCACACTCTGTGGTATTGCTACTTTACTTTTACGCAGATATAATGACCTTTTGTTGTTTCTCCTGCATTTGTGATGTGATATGTTGGGATAGTGTTGGTCTTCCATTGTGTTACTGTGCACAGCCATCTGTTTTTATGGTTTGATTGACCTCATTTAGATTGTTAAAATATATTTTTTACTTTAGATGACATAGCAGGCCCCCCTATGCAAGACTTCCTGTTTTCCCATAGAAATCTAGTTACTTCATTGCTTTAAAATACAACACATACTGTAATAGCTGTCAGCAAAAAAATGCTAGTTCACTTATTCCTTTTCTTACACCTAAATGACATACTTCCATAGAAGGTTTCATATTTTGTCGTGTTAAATATACTTCCAAGATACATGGGGTATATAGAGTGAATTAGATTGGAGCTAAAAAACCAATGAAAAAACTGTCCAGTAGTTGTCATAAAATTGGTTGTTAGTGATCTGCACATTTACAGGATTTTATTCCTTTTGATTCACACTCTATTAATGCAAACAATGTCCTTAATATTGTGAATCTTTGATGTGGATGTACTTCTGGTGATGTCGGATTTTATATTGTCATTGCACATACACCTTTTTAAGTCAACCACTTCGTAGCTCAGTGCTATGTCTGTTGTGCTCATTAAGGAACATTTCTCTTTGAATTGAGCATGATTAACTAACAGGCACTGGAAACCATCTGCTGTTCATTTGTATTGATTTAACTTGAATTTAATGTTGATTCATTTAGTGCTAAATTTGTGTTGATTTCAACTTTTCTAAAATTGTATATTTCGTTGAGTGTGAAAACAACTTCTTCAGCCAAAACTGTGTTTCTCCTTTCTGTTTTTCAGCATGGAATTTACATTACTTCTTACTTTAAGTCTTTAAAATATTGAACAAGAATCCAAAATCCTTTAAACCTTCCTATGTTTTCAGTGCTTGCTCATGCACTGTTCCACACAAAATTACCTTGCACTGAGGACTCTTATTAGACAGCATTCTGGATCAAAGTAGAATGCAGGTGTGTGTGTGTGCTGGAAGGTGAACTGCTAAAAAATGTACTTATCTACAGTATGTCTCTGTGTATTTAAACTAAAAGGGAAAAAAGAGTCACCTGTTTAAAAACAAAACCGTGCTGACTTACAGTATTTCATCACCCAACTAGTGGGAGAGCTGTGGGAAACCTGCCTCTTGTTGACTAATAAATGATTTATAAGTTAAATCAAGTATTCTTTAAAGATGGAAGGATATTTCTTATCAGGTAGTTTTAAAATATCAAAAAGGAAGGTGCAAATAGGATTATTATAGAAGAGATACTATACACCTCATAATACTCTCTGCAATGTCATTTAGGCCCAGTGTACCTCTCAGAAGGTCAAAAGTTAGGTGTGGAGCATGCTGGGGCTTCTGAGCGGTACTGTGTGAGAGTGAACCTGTTGCCTTGTGCTTACTGGCTCAAACTCTACTACTGGTGTGCAGAGCAATTCTCTGCATCCCTGGCACTGGGCCAGGATTATGTGGGTCTTTGTTTAATTACAGTTGTGTCTGTCTTCCTGCTGGCCCAACAGATTATGTTCTAGGATCACAGAAACAGGATTGCTTTTACCATGCCTAGGCCCATGGGGTTCACATCCTTGGGGGCTGTGGAAGTGAAAAGGATCCGTGCCGAGGATTAAAGATTAAGAATTTAAACTCCTGGTCAGATAAATGCCTTGACATTAGCAAAGAAAGCATTCCCAAAACCTCGACTCTTTCTCAGGGTAAATCATGGTTGGCCAACAAGACTAGTGGGTTTCCTGCAGCATCTCCCCCGGCAGGTGGGGGCGTTGTGAGCAGCAGCAGGCGGTGTTTTTGAACACGTGTGCTGTGTGTTGACAGGGGTACCAGTGGTTGAAGGACAAGATCCTGAGTGAGGAGGGCCGGCGCCAGCAGGCGAAGTTGAAAGAGCTGCAGGCAATCGCAGAGCGGCTGGGCTGCACACTGCCACAGCTCGCCATCGGTACGCGCAACACTGCTGCTCTCTCTCTTTCTGTCTGTCTGTCCGTCTGTCTCTCGCTCAACAGCAGCAGCAGCACTGGCACATTTTGTCCCGTTACCTGTTGTCTGTCTGTTTGGAAGCTTGTGTGCACTGGGCTGCTGTCTGATGTGTGGCACTGTGAACACTAGCTCACTGGCTTCACTCCCAGGGAGCTGAAAAATGTCTGAGCCCTGCGCTATTGACCCAAACGAGTGAAAAATAAAACCTTTTTCCACTTTCTGATAGAGCTGGTCAGAAGGAGACCCAATTTGTAGAGGATTTAAACATGATCATCTTCAGCTGCCCTTTTAAAACCAAAATCATTTTGAGCTTTTTAAGGAAAGATGATAGGGCCTAAAATCTAAATCATAGCGTTTGGTAGGACGTGTGGACCCAATGTTCAGAGCAAACATTTTGCCATTTATAAAGCTTTTCAAATAGATTTGGGTTGTTTCTATTTAATAATTTTGCATGTATGTTGAAACTATTACTGTAGCTAGGTGATCATTAGAATATGATGAAGAATAATTCTTTGAACCAGACATTTTTGGTAAATGAAAAAATCTTTTTTTCCAAGTAAAGGATATTTTAATGTTATTTTTTCCCAATTTCATTTAGCTTTCTGTGTTTTTTTCATAGTAGAATGTTATTAAAGCAGGTAAAAACCAAAGTTTTGCAAAGGACAGTGAAAGCTATCACAATAGTTGGTATTGAAAAAATAAAAACCAGCTTACAAAAGAAAGGTATGGTGTAGCAGGGTCAAAATGCCACTTCCTGTGGTGCAGCTCAGCCGTGTTCAATATGTGTTTTAGAAATATGCTTTGTCTTGCTTGGTGGACTATGCAGTGTGCTTGTGGCACAGTTAAAAGCAGTCTGTGGGAATGCTAGCTGTACTCTCAGTGCACTGGAGGTCTTTGTTGAATTTACACGTAAGATCGTGATGATTTTAAATAAATTAAATTTTGCATAGCGGATATTGATAGAATATTTGTAGTTTTACTGTAGTGTTAGTCTTTGTTTTCCTTGGCACTTAAAAGCACTACACAATTTAATGAGCAATGAGTAGTAAATAACAGTAGTATCGTAATGCCATCTGGTAATGCACTGTAAAAACATGACAGAGACAGGTGAGATCATACTGCAAGAAAAATGCAAAGCAAGGTAAAATGAGCTCCTTGAAATGTGTGTTTGTACAAGTGATGGTCCTTACTGTATGTGCTGTGTATCTGAGCAGATTGCAACAACAAACAGATTATTACAGTATTCAAATTCTGAGAACATTACCCCATACTAATGTATCTGTTGACCCTTTGGGAGATATGTAGAGGTCACTAGGTTCTAAAATTGTGCCTTATGTCCATGGTTGCTTTCTACTTCAGGACATAGTTAATGTTTAAACTGGTTTTCTCTGTACTGTAGATCTTAACCCAGTTCCTAGCTAATGAGCTTGGTTGCATAACACTATTAGCAGTAGTGAAAGGGCTGTGTTTCCCCAATCAGTAAACCTAATTCCCATACACACATACTGTAATCTTCCCATCAATTAAGATGCTGTTGTAAATCAGGTATCGATTTAAGGGGCACTGGCAAAATTGAATTTGCAAACTGACTGATTAAAACTCCCCAGAGAATCATTAAAGTGCCTGTGAGACAAACAGGCTGTGTAAATAAATGGTAGGGGAGTTCATCTAACATGAAAGGAACCTTACATAAACTTCTGGGCTGCTTGCAGAAAAACAAAACTGACCTTGATCAGTTTTTTTTTGTTTATATTTTGCAGCACTGTGGCACGACAGACTTGTAGATGGTGATTCACAAACCCTTGGCATAATACCATTATCTGCCCAGTCACTGTAATTAATGTTGTCACTCGGGCAATAGCCGGAAGTGATTTTTGTAAAGATAGTCTTTAGTCAATAGCAAATGTGTCATGTTTTTCAGTCCCTGGAAAGGATCTTTCTCTTTTAACCCATTGTATTTCTTACAATACCATGTAAAGTTTTGCTGTCATGTTTATTTTCTATAGTTACAGCATGTGTGTTACCAGGATGGTAGAAGGATGGACATTAGCCAGTTTCTAAAGACCATCCTCAGACTCTGCCAGTATGTTATTAGACTGTATCTGTGTGACCTCGGTTAGTGCTTTACAGCTGTGAAAATATTTATTATAGACCTTAGAAAGCCCATCACTGGATTTCTTTCAGTGAATTTTCCAATCCAGTGAAACGAAAATCTTTATTTCAAATTTGACAAATGATATGAGCATATTACATGTAAGGTAAATTAGAAATGGTGTTCACAATTACTTTTTGGGCTTTCGTTTCTTCCTTGAGTTTATTGATAAAGACGGAATTTAATTTCTAATTAATACCGCTATTAAAATCCGTTTTTTAAAAAATCTAGCAATTAACTTGGAACGGAATCTTGCGTGTTGCGCAGAGTTGACCCCCTCCCACGTTGCCATTATACTCCAAATACCACAGATGGCTTACACCCTGCAGGCTTGCTGCCTTGTACAGCAGTGGGCAAACACATCTTAATCTCCACTGTGCAGGGGTCTGCCTCTGTGGGTGGATCACGTGTGCCTCCTGCCTTGAACAATATCTTGGCTGGTAGGAAAAAACGCAGAGCTCCTCTTCTGCCACAGACCAGTGTGGCAGTGGTCCGGTCTCCCCCACCATAAAAATGGACCTTGGCGCTGCTTCAGAATCCCATGACAGAACTGCCACAGATGAAGGTCTGCCATGGGACTTTGCAGTCTTGCAGGTGCATTTTTATCTGGGATACCGGCTGGGCCGCAAAGTGTCATCCCTGTGTTGTGGTCTCTTCTGCAGCATGGTGCCTACGGAATGAAGGGGTCAGCTCGGTGCTGTTGGGGGCTTCCAATACAGACCAGCTGATGGAAAATATAGGAGCAATACAGGTGAGTGTGCGATGTTCTGCGCTGAAAGCAGCTGCAGGGACAGGGGTGTGTCAGAGTTTTGTGCACACCAGCACTATGGGGAGGTACTGTAAGTATGTAAAGCCTGGACACACTGTGAGAGCATGAAAAATCCATATCTGTGAACATTGGTGGTGGGCATCTGTCTCTCCTGTTAACATACTGATCCATGCTGGTGGACAATAGACCTTTCCTTTAAGTCAGACACGTATAGTAAGAATACAGTTTACTTACACTGCAGGAAGCTAAAACGTCACCCCTTCACAGTTTAATAAAATTGTTTCTGAAAGAATGTAGGAAATATTATCTGGACAGTATTCATTATTTCAATATTTCTGGCTGGTTTGGTTTATAGAATAATAAGGCCAGCTGTGTTTCATTCCACCGAAGGATTTGAGATGATAGCTTCTGGCATCACTGCTCACTAGACTTTAATGACATTTGAAAAAAAAAAAAAACTAGGAGTGTTTTGTTTGTGCCCTGTATTTATCCAGAGAAACAAAATAAATGTCTTTCAGAATTCTGTGTGTAGTTCACATTCATATCCACCTCTCCCCACTCACGAGACCTCATGATAATATTTCACTACATGTTTTAGGATATTTTAGCAGTGTCAGGGAATTAACGTTTTCAGATACGGTTCTTTGGCTAATGAGAGTTTATCTTTACATTTTCTCTGCAGGTTCTTCCGAAGCTATCTTCTTCCATTGTGCATGAGGTGGACAGCATTCTGGGCAACAAGCCTTACAGCAAGAAGGACTACCGCTCCTAACGCGCTGCCGAGCGCTGGGGGAGCCGCCGCCGCCCCCTGCCTCGATCTCTGCCCGTTCCTCTGTTTGCTCGAGCTTTTACTGAATGAGAAACTGGCGCGTGAAGCTGGCAAAAGGCATGGTCCTGGGGGGCAGGTCATCTGATAAGACAATGAAATCCTCACAAAAAGAAAATCTGGGAAGCAGAGAGAGAAAGATCAAAGCGAGGTACACTCGTAGATAAACCAGTAATACATTTATCTAAACCAGAGGTTTTTTTATATTTTGGAAAAAGCACATGCTTGCTTGGCAGCTTAAGGTTTTTTTGGGGGGTTTTATTTTTCTTAATGGTCTTTTTAAATTCTGCATCGATGTTAAAGCGAAATAAGATTGATATTAGTCTACAAGCGCAAACCCCAGTTTTTCCATTTACGTTTCATTTAAACCTTTTAGGAAGGTGCTTGAGTTTTTAAAATGATATTAATTTGAGCTGTTTTTTTGCACATGGGTGTAACGGCTTCTCCTGAAATGAAACAATCTAGCACTTTAGTTACAGACTAAAGGAATCAATCCGAGAGTGATGTTCACAGACATCCCCTATAATGAAGGTCCTCTGAAGTCAGTCAGTTTAATTACCAAAGCTAATTTAAAAGATCTAAAATAACTACATACACTGGGACATCAAAGAAATTGAATGTTTTTTTGGAGGGATCTTGTCTGAACGATTATAACTGTGTGCTTAGCTGTTTTTGGCAAGCCATTCACTTAGCAATTACCATTTTAAACATCATTCTTAAATTATTTAGATTTAATCAGCTGAATAATAATATATTTTTTAAACAGAGCATCTTCGTGCAGGTCAGTTAAAATTAACTCTGAATCCCACATATGGCATAACAGAATCTTGAAGCTAAAATCTCCTGCTCCTGTTGTTACAGTATACAGCACAGCTGAATAACTGAAACACTGAAAATAAAATTTTGTCTCGAAACAGAAATGGGATGGATCTTAACCTGCTGACTTTCAGACTTAGTAGATATCCAGGAAGAGAAAAGAAGATTATTATTGCTGATTTTCTAGTGTGATATTCTACTCTGCACTGTTACTCAGCAGGTTGTAAGTGAAACTGCAGTGCTAAGCACCCGGGTGCTGTTTTTAGTGAGTTTGTACAGCACACATTGGCTCAGTTACTAAAGCCCTGTGGATATTTTACTGTGGTTCTCGCCTTGTCCTGTTTTCAGAGGTTAAGACTTTTTGATTTGTGAAACATTCATTGTTTTTGTTCTCTCCACAAAGTGCGGGAGAGAGTTGGCAAACTGGCACCATATTTGTTCGATTGTTCTTTCAGAGCTTTGTTAACAGCAGCTGATGTTCTAGCGAAGCAAGGAGGGAAAGACATGGTTGGGCAGTATTTGGAGCCCATGCCAGCCCATCCTCAAAAAGCATTCACTGTGATGTACTGTGGTAACGGCATAGAAAAGCATAGTAGAAAATGGTGAATTCATAGCAAAATGTGATATACTGTAAACTTCAGGAAGGCATGACAGACAAAATACTGTGCATACCTGTATATACTATGGAACAACTTCATTAATGGTGGTAATGTGGCTAAAGCCAAAGATTTTCAGACATCTTTCAAGAACATAAACAATCGCTGAAAGAGTCAGGGATATATTTTCTCCAGCTTGTACCATTTGCCTTTCCTTTTTTATCACTATGCTATTTAAAATCACTTCCCTGGTGTCTAGCAGCTCAGGCATTTAGAGTTATACTGTGATTTTGTCCTGTGTCACTCCAGGACTGAAAGGTGGATGAATAACTCGGTGGTGATCACACTTTTTCTTTTACTAGTTCTCTTGCCCCTAGTAAATTCTGTATGTTGGCTTCTACAGAGTGGACCTGGGATGCTCTCCAGGATGATTTACTTGATTTTGTGAGATCCATTGATTCTGATACTGTGATTAATGATAAATATATACAGTATATATTATTGTTGCACCACTGTTTCCTCTGTTACCAGAGGGTGGGGCTCTTTCTTCTTTTTCCTCTTGAATTGGAATTTAAATGCACCCATGTAACCAAAGGCTATATTCACACAGCATTTTCTGTGTAATCAGTCTGCAATATTTTTGCATACAGTACATGTGTTTTGTTTTTTCTTGCTTGTCAGTAATGGTGGCATGGACAGAACTCCAGACACCATCATCCAGGATAGCTTCTCTTCAGGTATTGTCAGAAAACATGGGTTGTCACGCTTGCATAATGGATTAAGGCTCGTGGATTATCAGAATAGTTATAGTATGAAAGGTGCTGGGTTGAACATTTTTCCAGGAGTTTCTTTGTTTTCTGAAGATAAAATTAGGCAAGATGATCCAAGAAGGGTTAGAGAGGTTTGCAGTCAAAAGGAGAGGAACAGATAGAAGGACAGATGTTTCATTAGTAGATTTTGAAAAATAATTGGCTGTATTTGACTCTCCAAAGCGTGCCTCTCGCATAGCAGTGTCTCTCAGCAGTTACCAGAGTTTCCACTATGCACATTATACCCTGCCAGAAAAGCCACAGAAAGCATTCATCCATTTTATCTGCCTTAATAATCAATTGTTAAACTGGCAAGATTATCAAAATACTACCCCCTTCCAGTTTGCTCAGCCGGGTTGGTTTGGAACGGTGAGAGATTTGTTCTAACTATGAGTACTGCCTGAAAAGTTGTGCACTGTGACTTAGGAACTTCCATAAAGCAACCTGAGCTTTAAGAGTGGAATTGAAAAGGTTACTGGAATATTTTTGCTTTCAATCCACATGACCAGAATAGCATAAGACAACACCAGAGTGAGCCCTTTACATTGTACCATAGAGTCTGATGTTTTTCATCTAGTTATAAAAATTAAACTCATTGCATGACTGGATGCAATTTATTCACACTCTAATTGTGGGCTAATTATATATTTGTCGAGAGCTGGCAGCTAACTCATTTTTTTTTTCATATTTATTGCGATGTAATAACATAGTGGAATCGGGTTGATGCAGATCCAAAACTTAATTACTATCTAGATCTCTGTTGAAGTTGTTTTCATTTTCAAGAATGTGACATTTCCCTTTTATATAATCAGTATTGTTACACATTCTGGGAGGCACAGTAAAAATGTATTGTCTTTTCTATTAAAAATAAATAAATAAAATGTTATTTTGTTCATACATAATATAGTATGTTGTACTGTATGTAATGGTTATTAAAATTGCTATATTTGCACTGGTGACTTGAAATCTGCATAGTGATTCTGTTATCCTGTTGGGCTGTTTTTTTGCTTTGCTTTTTTGTCATTTCATTTTCTAAAAATAAACAAGGAAAATGAGGGAGAGACAGCCATTCCGATGTGCTGTACTATGGTAGTTTGGCACAGCTCTGTGACAAATGCTTTGAATTTGAGGAAAAAAGTCTTTAGCTCCACCATGCGGCCAAAGTGTCAATTGCATCTGCATCTCATAGCATCTTATTAGTGAGCACAAAGGCTGAATGTTTGACTTACCTGTTGTAAATAATATATGAAAAAAACTATTATAGATATAATGTTTCTAGCAGATTGATACTCCTGATAGAAAAGGAATGTTCAGCATGGTGTTATATGATGAACTAATTTAGAGCAAAAGGTGAGTTTATGTCAAAGTTAAAAATGCAGCTCATTCCCTGATCTATGCATGTGTATTATATTAATATAGGCAGATTCTATCTATGCTGCTCAGTACATAAATGGTACATAAAAGTTCCAGTATAGTCAAATGAATATAATTCATGCTAATTTCTACTTTTTGCTTGTCAAAGACTATAAAAGCTGTGTAATCACAAATTTGTATACTGTAAAAAGCTGCAAAGTTGTGATATTTGTTTTCTTTTAAGAGAACTCATGTATACATATATATTTTTATCATGGCAAAGTGTGCAGTATATATATATGGTACTGACTAGAAATCACTTTCACTTTATGTTAAAACATAGTTGTAGCTGGGTCTGAAATGGAATCAGACTGTGTATACTGCATTTAGGGCAATGGTCACAGTTAATGATGCCAAATAGAAGTGATGGCTAAAGAATGAATGGAACCATCCACTAGTTTATATGTAGATATGTATAATACTGTATATTATTGAACAACTGGACAGGGGTTGTAAAATGTACACAGTTTTCAGCATTCACTTACACATAGTGATGTGATCATCCAAGATTGATGTGCAAACCTTATCCGTAACTGGATAAAAAGATGGACACATGTAGTTTTAATCTCCTGTAGGCAACCTAAATGTTTTGTGAGTGGCTGGCAGTGTGAAAAAGCAGTGCGCTGTCACCATGCAGCTGATAGCTCCAAGCAGTTGTCTAGATTAGAACATGGTTTCCAGTGTGTTCAAATGGAAGAGGGTTTGGAATAGGGACTGCCAGTTTCATCTTACATACTGTACATAAAGTAAATCACTATGTATTACTCTTCTATCAATCATGAAATATTGTGTGGAAGTGTTAAAATAATGTTCTAAAGTGACCTCTGTTGATAATTGCTAGAGAAAGTCTCCTGATACACCTATTACTTGGAGCAGTTAGTGTCTTTGTTCCCAAAACGGTCTGGGGACCCTCAAGACCATAATGACCTCTATTTGAGAAATTACTGGTCCAGACAACCGCTTGAGCATTTAGCTGCATGGCTGGAACACATTGGGTTTGCAATGTGTGCACATTTCCAACCACAGAATCACAATAAAATGGCAATAAAAGGTTGTTTTTTTCAGAGGAAGATTCTTGTTAAAGATGTGTGGGATTCAGGTTGAAGCTGGATGATGGCAGCTGTCTTACAGTATATTTAATACACACAGCTCATGATGACAGATTACTTACTGTAACTAAAAGCCTTGTGACCAGGGCCCATTGTTCATTTTACTTAGACCATTTTGCATTTCTGCTTTAATAACCAAAGATCATTGCAGGATAGGAAACGAATCGAATGAGCTCGTAACCAAGAGGAGAACACAGACTGTTGAAGTGATGGCTTAATGTGCTTTACCCTTATTTGTTTAGAAATTGAGTTTTTCCAATTCTGTCATTTCACATCCCATTTCTCAACCAATGTTACAGCACAAGCTGTAACGGCTCCATAATTTGGTCAAATTTGCAGGTTATCCAATAGACCGCCTTCCCCTGGGGTTGCTGTGGCCTGTACCTTTTCCTCCATCTCCCTCATTGTAAACGTAGGTTTTTAGTGCAGGGCAACAAAGCCTGTATGAATAAACCTGTGTGGCGTAGTACTGCACTGCTATGTCAGGCTGTGGAAATACATGCTGATCTGACCCCCTTTTGGATTCAAGTGAACGGATATCTTATTTATTTTAGAATTCCATTTTTAAAGAATAATCCACTCCAGCCTGTCACAAATGTTTTTTTTTCTGCTTAACCCAATGCTTCTCAATAGAGCCCCCTCCCTTCTTACTGTTGCTACTGTAAACCAAATTATTCAGTCGCTTTCAGAATTCATTTTTATAGCACATGAAACGAACAGCCTTAAAAAAGGACACAATGTGAAGCCCTCTGTGCAGAAGCATGTGATTTGAGTTTAAGAGTTTTTGTGAGCAATTCTGAAGATGTGATGGAAATAGCATTTGATTTACAGACCTCGATATTTTGTTTTTAATGAACTATAAGATCCTGCATAGCACAGTATTAAGATATATATATATAACCACACATAACCATGTATTGGTTTTGTTTCAGTGCAGGGATCCTTAGCAGAAAACAACTTTGTTTCCTGTTTGTGTAAAAATAAATAAAAAATATGTATTCCATGTAAAAGAAATATATAGAGCTGTTGTTGTAGAGGTGAGGGAATTACACCCTTGAACTGTCTTTGAATCATGATACTGTTGGCTTTCAGACTAAAGGAGTCGATGAGATTATCACTTGCATCCCTTTAAGTGTAATGTTAAATTGCCACAAGGCCTGCATCCATGTTCTGTCATTGGCAATGACTGCAAAATTGTCTGCTTGCGTTTCATTGCTGTTGTATTCATCAACTAGACAATGAGTAAATGAGTGCTGTATTTTAAAGGAATCGCATTCTGGTTTGCTTGCATTTCCTCTTGTGAGAGTTATTTTTTTATGTTCATGCCTATATGCGATGTTGAATTGGCCTATTATTGATCTGAACAAAAAATATTTTTTTAACATGCTGCATTTTCTTCAATATTTAATGAGTCAATGTTGAGCAGTGGGGATTATTTGTACTGTAGATGCCTTTGAGGAATTAATCTGTAATGATACTATAATTATTGATAATACATATACTGTACTAATAATGGCAAGCTGTAAATTTTCACTCTTTTCTGGGTACTTACTGCACCATCAGATACCTTCTGTATGTATATACTTTGACCTTTGTATATATATTAATGGTTGTGATCACTTCCGCATTTTTTTTTCCATTGGCAGGCATTGCTAATTGCATCGTGCTTGAATCAGAATTCAGACTATGTACAGCTGCGGTATTTATGAAATGACAATAAAAAATACAAAATGATATGACGTCTCACAACTTATTGTTGTACTAAAGGTTCCAGAATACTGTGGGAGATTGTGTATTTTAAAGTTTATTTCGTTTTAATAAAATGTTCTCCTTATCTTAGTTACACACCTGTATACTGTATATCATTGTCCCTGTTTTGATCTTTAAATGTCATTTTTGTGTTATTTGATCAAGACCAGGGGCTTTTTATGAGTGTAGGTTGATCTTTATGACTCAGACAGCACTGGATTCAGGCTGGGTTCTGTTGCTAACAGTCATTGACTCTCTGCTTCCTGACAACTGCAACTCCTGCAACTTGGCTGGATCCCTGCAAGGTATCATGTATATTAAAGGGGAACTGACCAGTTATTAAATCATCAGACAAGTTATTAAATCTCAGTAACAAAATAACTGACAGCATTGCAAAATGTATCGAATTCCGCATTAAGTGCAAAATCCTGAACTTTCTGAAAGAAGTGTATAATCTCCACGTTGTTGAGAGCTCAAGACAATTATGATTTAATGCAGCCCTTCCTGCTCACTAGTCACTCTAACGACTAATGTGCAAGCGAAAAAATACAGGTCAGGCAGCACACATTTCAGCGCAGAAATGTTCCAACGTGATCTGCATGCATGGTTAACAAGTAAGTAATTGTCGGCAAAACCGTCTCGAAGTCGAAAGCAATATTTCTATTTGATTAAGTGAGATGTATTCACAAGCCTGCTTGTTTACAATGTCATAGGGCCGAGTCACCTCACGGGAAGTTTGGTTGCCTCCTTATGAATCCCAGGACACGGCACTGCGCATACGTGGAAACGGCGTCTATTTTGTTCTGTAAATTGGAGGTTTTACACGTGAATATGTACATTTTACTTTAAATCATAGCTGCCTTAAAATGCACTCATCAATGCAGATCCTTTCCAACACCGAAACTTAAAAATAGCGCAAGGCTATGACGAGTCTGTCAGTAACACGTTTAACGTAACGTAATTACATGTTGCAACAAAATGCAACAGGCTTAAAACAGGATTTTTTTTATTTCTCGAGCGCGATGACCGGTCTTAGTAATGAGGGGCGTTTCGCAGGTGGACTGATCCTCGCAAACGGAAGAGGCGTTACTTTGGCCTCGGTATCAGCTCGGAGCGTCGTTTTACTTTTCACGGTTTCAGGACGACTTGCAGTAGTAACAAATTCAGGTAGGGGTATTGTTATTTATGTTTTTTTTCCCCACTTTATGATGTGCATTGCATGCAGCATTCTCTTTACATTGGTCTTTTCGTTATACACGTGTGCGTTCCGCTCGGTAATTTGCACAGCTCCGGTCTCCGAGGTAGTTCGACTCTGTCCTCAAACTTTTATCCAGTTTCTCTGGGCTGTGATACATGAAACCAAGTCTCGTGTGTTCGTTGTGCCTTCAAAGAGTTGCAGAGTGCCAGCACTCCTGCATGCAACAGGACAGGGCAAGGAGATATGGGTTGCGTGCCCAGCGTGGGGCGAGTAGCGCATTTCATGAGCACCGGGGCAGGAAAAGAATGGAATTCAGATGGACTTGAACCATTTAAACGGTATCGCCTCTTGTAGTTACTCAACACAAGTTGGCTTGTGAAGTTTCGTCGGTGTCCGTGTTACAGTGTCGACAGTAGAGCCCCACCATCTCGCCAACGATTCTTTTGAGCGAATCTGTTCACGAGTTGCGTCGTGGACTCGAACCAGGGCGAAGTGATTCATGTCCAGAGCTCAGGGGTCCAAGGAGGAATGGGGTCACATTTGGTACAGTAAATATGAAGCAGACATAAATCATTGTAAAAATGCACATGGCCCTCATTGATTGTGTGAGCAAATTCAAGGGGATTGAGTGTGAAGCATGTATTCCATCCAACACTTTTATAGCTGCTTTTATAACAGGTGTAAGGTTTGGATATACCTTGAACCATTGGAATGAATAATGTTTTGATTCTCATTTCAGACAGCATGGTCTGACATTTTAAAAATTCTGGGGTTACATTATGATATAATTTTATTATGAATAAACATTGGTTCCTCCCACACTGAGAGGCATACGTAATTTTGAGTTTCATTAGTATATACAGTGTACAGTCTATTTTAAATGGTGTCTGAAATACAGTATGTCACTGCTAACCCGAAATCATTTTTTTCGTTTCATTTTGTTGTAATCCGACAATCTGAAATGCAAATTGTTCTGTGGTAGGACTATTGAGAGAAACAATCCAAGTTATTTTCCAGGTAGGAATACATATGAGGTAGCACCTTAAGACAGATTAAAAATATTATTTTGGTTTTGTTTTTTATAAGTAGGCTTTTCAAGGTAAAACACTGATTTAAAAAAAAACATATGTCAAGCTTTCTCTGCCAGTAGGTGTAGGTATTAAAGTTCTCTTTATGTTAAATTCATATAGATTTGGAAGGTTTTTTATTCTGTCATCCAGCCGATGACATTATCTGATTTACTGCTGTTATCGGTTTGTTATAATTCAGTGTAATAAAATGTGGGTACTTTGGTAATATTTTTACCTCTCATTTTGTGAGCTGTTTTGCAGCTTTTTTCAAAGGTAGTGTAAATATACATTTACAGGTAAAATTTAGTTCTGAATTATAGATATTCATTTTTTTTCTCTGACTTTAACAAAAAGATAATCTTGTTTCTCTGAAGGACTACCACTTCTCAGTAGGCAAAAGCAAACTACCAAAACAAGTTTTCTGGTCTTGAGTGTCTTGAGACTTGATCTTGAGTGTCGAAGACGTAGATAACCCAAATCTGCCCCTTACTGTCCACTCTGTGTATCTGAGGCATGTTTTTGTGGTACAGTACGTCACAAGGCACTCTGAGCCTTCTGTATGTGCAGCCATTGAAATGCAGCTAGCTGTTTAAATTAAACCAGTTGGCTAAAGAAACATGGAGATATGTGCATTTTTTCTTTAAATTTGTTGGGGATTTGATGTAGGCTGGGACTCCCATTGTCAACATTCATTGCGCTACTATTACAGTGGGTCTGCGTGTTACAGACCATGGACATAAATATTTACCCGACTTTATGTAAATGGTCCTCAAAAGAAGCACATTTCTAGTAAAATCATGGCAAAATTGTATTATGTAAAATAATGATTTATTACTGTATTATTATAACTTTGTGTTTGAGATGTCATTTTTACATCTTTTTAACGCGAAGCTACCTAACAAAGCAGTTCAGAGAAGCACGGAGAAGAGCAAGCAGACTGCATTGTTAGATAAGTTACAAATAATTTAATATGATTGAGAGGGAAACCTTATTTACAGCATTTAATATCATTTTATGGAGTACTATATTACAATTATTTATACTGTACATAAAAAGTTAATTTAAAAGTATTTTGCCGTGTTGGTTTCATCTTTAAGTAGTGATATGCTACTCATTATTAAAAATAAGTTTGATGTTTAAACGTAATTTTTAAAAATGTCTTTTCATCACTAATATGTAAGCTCTTTCATTTTTAGTTTTTAAATTCGGAGTGTTTCTAAAACGTTTCAGACAAGGTTAAATTGCATTTTAGTGCTCTGACGGGTCACCTCAGTGATCATTCTGTTTATACTCAGAAAACGTGAATTAACAACTGTAAAAATTGTGTTGTCAAGTCCTGGCCATATTCCTGTTGAAATATATTGATTCTCATGGAGAAATATGCCGCACTTGAGCCTCTGGGAATATTTACATCCTCCCAGTCCGCATGAATCCTATTTTCATAATTTTGTGTGGGAAATAATTTTCCCGCTTAACATCTGTGTTTTACGGTTGCCCTTTAGGATGTGAAGTGTGGACCACCTTGTTCCTTGTTCTGTTTGTTATTGGTTCTTCACACTAATACGTCACACTGCACACTGAAGCAGACAGACAGTGTGCGTTTCTGCTTTACTGCATCAGAATCCCAGCCTGTGTAAACGTGTCCCAGCTGTTTTGGTACATATGGAGTAAAATAACCATCCTTTCTACATCTCTGAGTAAAAGTCAGAATACCCCCCCACCCAGAATAACATACTTAAGTACAATACAGCTCTCTGGGGAAAAAAGGACTTGAGTAGTGTAGCACAGTAGCTTCTACCTCGTTACTTCCCACCCCTGGAAAAAGGTGATGTACAGCTGCCTTTCGGAGCTCACGGAATAAAGCCTTGGATGGTACTAAAAGTAATGTCATGTATCAAAATATTGTTTTAATTTTGTTTTTAAGAAATTAACATAGTGTAAGATGTTGTGCTACTGACTGCACTGTTCAGTCTGTTTTGTTTTTTAAAATTAACAACAGAGAACATCTGAACCTTTTTTACCTTAGTGTCCAAAAAGAAATCTTAGGTATAGACTTCTGAGCATTGTGATTGACAAAGCTGAAATACTGCTTTTGCACACTAGTTCACTTTTCTGTTCATTTTTCAGCAAATGAAGCAGTGCTACAGTTGTAATGTGAGGTTAGATAGCTGGTGTTGCATCTTGCTGATTCACCCCTCAGGTACTCTTCTGCAGTCATGTGGGTGAACTTTGTTGCTTAGTTTTCTTAATAGTTTGTCATTCTTTTGTGACCATTCAGCATATGGTTTTATCCACGCCAATATATCAGAACAGGATATTTGAGGTGCATTAAAAACACATGTGAATCACTTACAGTAAAATGGTTTCCCAACAGGAGATGTTTCTTCCTATTAATGCAACATTGCATTCTTAAAAATCAGGGTCAGGACAACCTCTGCTCGTAGACAATTTAAATTTATTTTAAATCTGTTGGACCTCTCTAGGACTTGGATTGCAGACTGCTGGTTTAAATGAAAGCTTTTCAAATGACATACAAACTTGACATTACCTGTCTTCCAATATAAATAAAAGTTTCCATGGGAGCCCATCCAGGAGGCACACGAATGAAAATTAAGCAAATAGTTAAAAACACCTTCAATTATAGATGCTTTAAGCATTCTGAAGGATTCCCTTGTTTGGAACACCAAACGGAACAACAACAACAACAAAAAACGTTCAACTTCAGTTTAAGCATATACCTTATACTTTCATACTTATCTTTATTTTTTTTTTCTTCTTGGCTGTATTTACAAAAAAGCAATATTTACAAATACAACTTTCTTACAAGTTTACTTTTAGCGTTTTATATTCAATGGAACACAAATACAATCATTTTCAATAGAGCACATTTCAGTGTTTTACCTGTTGTGTGGTTAGTTTTTGTCTGGAACACCTATAATGTCCTGATGTTTGCAAATGGATTTGTGCTTTATTGGCTTTGAACCTTAAAGGCTGAACAGATTAAACCAAGAACACACAAACACTGGAGAACCATCACACCCATTAAAACAGACACAGCAGGCAGGTGAAAAGAATGTGCATGGACAATGCCTCAACATTAGAGGGCTGGGTGTCCAGAATTTCTTGCTTTAAAATCTTTTGACGCTACTTAACTAGCTGGAGCTCACAAACTGATGGAAAGCTGTGGTATTTGTTTATGCATGTGCAGTGGTGGTTCTTGATAAGTTTTACTTGTGCTTCTTTAACTGCAAGCTTTCCCTGACAAATGGCAAAAAATGATTATTTCCCCAAAGGATTTTATAACAGAAGTTTGAGGGGGGAAGATTAGATCTTCCACTCACCTATGTATATAAGTCTCACACCCAGACCTTGCCTGACAACTCCCCCCCCCACAGTAGTGTTGGAGGGGGTTCGTCTGTCATTCCCTCAGATACGAGAGTTGGGCCTAATACTTTATATATCTCTCTCTATTGCGTTCATCAGGATCTGACCAAAGTGCTGAAATATTTCACCCGCAAAATTGACAGTTTTCCTAGTCAGACTGCTTTTTAATAACTTCAGAATGTTGTTGTTTTAAACTCTTAAACGTTATTCACAGACCACTACACATATGTTCTGTCCACTGTGTCCCAGCCCGAATTATAACTTCCAGTGGCATTTTTATTAAGTAAAACCCCTCATCAAAGGACACCGCCTTAAAGATTTTCTTCTTGTCTTGACCTTAGGAATAACTTCTGGTATTACAGAACTCCTTCCTTTTAAAAGATGATTCCACTATGCTTTTTAAGTCCTGTGCAGGTTACAGTGAATGTAAGCCCTGCAAAATAATACTGTGAGCTCACAAGTCACTAAAATCACATGTCGCGTGCACATCAAATAATGCAGCATGTGAATACAAAGCATAGGATCTAGTTTAAATAAAAAAACAGAGTTCTGAGTAATATGCAATAATGTGAACCTCCAATTTAAAACATCAGTGAAAAAATATAATTTTCCCTGATATCCGGTATTCTAGGGGAGTGGCAAAATTCAGACTCTATGGAGGGCAGCTCAGAAGTAATCTGCCTTTGCAGGAACAAGGAATTCTGCAATTCATCTGTGTATTGTGGCAGTGCTACACAAACGTATTCTGATATGCAACAGAAACTTGAACAGAAATGATCTTTCCTATCTTTTTAAAAGGCAATTGTTAATCTATTTCACAGTATGTCACTTTATGTAGTGCACAGTTGATTCTCATTTATTGTAAGCCTCTAAAACAGTTATAACACAAATGATGTGAAATATATTTGAAAAGCAGCCTAAAAAAAGTAAGCATCTACTTCTACAACAATATCTTTTTTTCTTTGTGTGGGGGGGCATCAAGGTGGGTTCTTACCACTAAACACACCTTGACAAGCAACACTTGTAAAGATCATTTCAAGCAGTTCGCCTGAAACTTAAAAGTATTTAACAGCTATACTTTGTCTTAAGATTTTATTATTTATTTGTTTGCCATATGTGTTAGTTACGGGACACATTTCTCATCCTAAAATCATGTTGGCAGAATGTTAATTTTAAGAAACTGAAATGTTCAGTAATATGTACAAGCTTTGTACCTTGAACTGCAGGCTAGTTCTTCTTGAGGTACAGTGGCAGGAACACCAGCTCCCTGCCATATCTCATTTTAAGACATTCAAACTCCTTGCGGCGCCTTTTTTGTCCGTTTATGAAGGTTTCAGTTTTTTAAACAGATAAAACAGCCTTTTCTGTATTTACAAAGGATATCTGGCAACTACCTGTTTTTAAAAATGCTCATAAAATCTCAGCGTCTCCCTTAGGTAATTGGTATGTAAAACAAAAGCCCCTTCACCAAAGCTGGCTAGCCATGTCGTGCATAGCTGACACTGGGGAACCTGCAATGATCATCTGAATCACAGTGATCTTAAAAAAACAAGAACTGGATCAAGATTTGGCTCAAATTACGTGCAAAATCTACAATCTATAATACACCAATTTCAATCACAATGCAACTTCATTGCAAACGTTCAGTAGAGAAGAGCTGCCTTAAAAGTTTTAACTTTGCTTTGATGTGATTTGCTATTAATCTGTAGATTGAGAAAGCAAGGGTCAGTGTCAGTACAGATGTCTTAGTGTGTGAATCCCTGCTGCACTCTTTCTCAGACTTTTGCCTTGGAAAAAAATTGAGAGTCTGTATGTGTCTGCTGACTTTGGTTTTCCAGCTTCAGTATTTCTTTTACTGCAAGTGGCATTTTGAATAGGCTTCAGACAGCTGTATATTTTAGCTGTCTGTCATTTTGAACCAGCAGTAAGCACAGTCTCACCATGCACGCAGTAGCATGATCTCACAGGTGGGGATACCGGGATACTTCCCTCGTCGGCAGGGGAACAGTCTCTCTGCAGACGTTCAGTGCACTGACAGCTGTATCAGCCCAACCCATTAAAACATTTGCTCAAGTTGTGACCCAGTCACCATATTTTTCGGAAAGAACTGGAGGCTAATTGAGACTTCCTGTAGTAAGATTAAAGTGTTTGGATTTTAACTATCATGAAGACTTATGAGGGGTATTCTAACAAATTTCAGGACGTTCAACCCTAATGATCAAATTATCACCTAAACAATGGTCAGTTTTACACTGGATTCTAATAAGGTGGCTGTTGCTGAAAGTCTGGGATTTGAGTCACCTTCATAGATTTCAAACTTGGTTCAAAAGTAATTAACAGTGCATTCCAAGACAGAGAGTAATAAAAGGGAAATGATGTCAGAAAGTGTGCTTTACACCGAAAGAATTGAACTAGCACAATTAATTATTATTCTACGATAATAAATTATATTTTAGTATTATCAATAAATTACAAAAGACAAAGAATAGTAATCATTAACATTCAAAGACAAAAAAAAGTCTGAGATATCTGCCACGTACTGTAGCTCACTCGTCATAGACTCTGGTTTTCGTGTTTTTCTGTAGCAGCAGGCTTTGCTTTCAACAAGCAGGGCCTCGTCCATTCACTCCATGATGACTGGCTTTATGAAAGCCAGTCAGCAGCTGAAGATGACCACTTAATGCCTAGCACTGAATCTGTGTTTTATAACATCCCTCAACATAAGCTCTCTCGGGTGTTTCAAACACAAAGAGTACCTGTACAATCATTTAACTCTCTTTTTTTTTTAAACTGTACCTTCCATGTAATTTTGTGTGACAAGGTGTGCCTATCCATGCTCGATCCGCTGCACCCTTGTCTTTTAATTATTTTTTTAAAAATCAATTTTTTAAAAAATGCAACAAAACGTTAGCGTTTATATCGGCAAGACAGAAGCAGTCTCCACGGGGCTGACTCCACAGACGAACGGTGCATTCAAGAAAACATGAGACCACAGGGAGGAGCCAAGAAGCAAATGGACGAACGCGACATGACCACAGTGCAGGTCAGAGTCCTTCCCGCGCGGGGGGGCCCCTCCTCTCCTCTGAGCCCGCACGGGCTGCAGGGAACGCGTGCTGTGCTGTGGTCAGAGGGATGAGGGCTACAGTTCCATAGTGGTGGTCCTGTGCCTCCCACGCCGTTGCCACGGGAACCAGAGGCTGGCACAGAACAAAGCAGCAGCGGGCGGGGGGGGGGCTTCACCACACGGGTGGCGAGCTGGGGCTGTCCTCGTCGTCTTCGTCATTCGTAGTGGCAAAGGCCCGTGCTCGTCTCATCTCCTGGAGGGCGTGTTTTTTGTGAGAATGCTGTCGAACAGGAAAGCAAGGGGTTAGGTCAGTCTTCACAGGCAAGGCTGGAGCCCTTCGGCTCTCAGTGTTGCCAAAGCGTACGATCGGTTAGTGTGCGACTCCTGCTGTAAAGCTCAATCGCCGAGGGTCGTGAATGCTGGAGATACAAACTGTTTTGGTTTTTATTGGAAGGATACAACAGGGTGGTACAGTGGCAGAGGTTAGCCTTGCTACCTCGCAGTGCTGGGGTCTTGGGGTCCATGTCAGACCTGGGGTGCTGTGTGTGTGAAGATTGTATGCTCTCCCCATGTACGCGCGGGTTTTCGCCAGGTACTCCATTTTCCTCCCCCAGTCCAAAGACATGCTGGTGGGTTAATTGGCTGCTGGGAAAATTGGCCCTGGTGTGAGTGTGCCTGTGTGTACCCTGCCTTGTGCTTGATGCTTGCTGGGATAGGCGCCAGCTCCCCCACAGACCTGTACTGGATAAAGAAGTTAGAAAATGGATGGATGGATGGATGGATGGATGGATAAAAAAGGGAAGAGAATGAATTAAGACCCGTGTATTCCATCAGTCCTGTGTGATTAGCGCAGTGCTCAGCTGCACGGTAATGTGGCCTGACCAACTACCTGAGGGCCAAATTGTGACATTCCCCTAATCCATCTTACAGCACTGGTTCTCTCTAGGTCTGTTTTAATGATGCTGCTCCATGGCAGTGCCTCATCGTGGGTTTAGAACAGGAATGAGATCAGTAAGCTTCTGTTTGAGCATGAGCACTCTCTCAGAGTTTGCAGCTATTTACTCACTTTACCTTTTATTCAAGTACTTTGTTTTAGAAAAGTCGGTACTTATACTCCTCTACATTTTTCAGAAGTCTCTTTCCCTCTGGGATTTACTGATGTTTACCCAGGCTGGGATTCTGCTGGGAAAGGCAGAAACACAGTGTCTGTCTGCTTCAGTGAAGCCCGACCACAGACCGTGGTGTTTCCTACAATAACCGATCAGCAAGCACACCGATACCGGTATAAAGGGACACAGGGGATTTTACATCCTTAAGGAGGGTCATAGAACATGGATGTGAAGGGGGAAATTATTTCCCATAAGAAATAATGAAAATAGGATTGATGGGGATGGGGAGGATGTAAATATTCCCAGAGGCTCAACAGAATAGTGTCCAGGACTTGACAACAGAATTTTACAGTTGTCCATGTTTTCTGAGTGCAAACAGAATGATTACCGTAATGACCCATTATGTTGAGCACTAAAATGTTGTTTAACTTTGTTGGAAATGTGTTAGAAACACTCAGAAATGGAAAATTAACAGCTTATGAGTTTGATGAACAACCATTTTATTCATTTAAATATTAAACTTGAGATTTTAGTGTTTTTAATGCAGTGTATCACACATGCATGGCACACAAAGATGGAAATGACACCACAAAATAATTTCAAATTCAACTTTTATGTACAGTATAAATTATTTTGTTCCTCTAAAATAGTACCTCAGTAATGTTTTTAATTTACCACACACATGATTAGCAGCACAATCTTTTACTGTATAGAGTAAAATTAGTTTTCAGTTTATCTAGAGGCAGTGCAGTCTGCTTGTGCTTCTCAATGTTCACCTGCACTTCTTTGTTAGGGAGCTTTGTGTTTTAGAGGATGTAAAGTTGGGGCACAGAAAAGATGCCAAAATTAAATATACAAAACACTAAAACTAAAATATACTTAAATATGCTAAATTAAATTAACAGTTATAAATAGTGCAACAGTTATAATATGTACAACAGTTTTATATATTAAGCTCTTTGCTGTGAATTTACTAAGAATTTTCCATTTTTGTACAGTTTACGTAAAGCTGGGGAAATCTTTATGTAAGCATTCCATAATATATACGAGTCACACCTGAAAAAGACTCCACAGCCACATTTTTCTTTTTCCTTTCAGCAGGGACTGAACCTGATCCTTTACAAGTACTTGGGACTGGACTTGGATAAAAACCTAAGATGGGACAAATGGTGTGTTTTTCCTTAGGAAACCAAGTCATTTGTTGAAAGTGTCTTAAACTACTGTCTCCCTTGTGGGTTTGGCAACATCAGTACTGTAATTGGAATTGTTTGGGAAAATTAGTGAAAATAAGTAGGTAAAGTCATGGAACTATGGCTACTTTCTTCATTCCAGTACTTGAATACCAATAAGAAATTATATTTATGCTTTTACTTGAGTAGTTTCCTTATTTTTGGAAGTAATGTTACTTGAGTAATAGTACTGTATTTTAATACTTTTTAAACCCCCCTGGATTAAGCATCATAGGAAAAAAGTGCATCTCTGTAACTCACCTAAGATTGCATGTTTTTCAGATTTCAAATATATTTCCAGTGCTAGAAATGTCCCTTATCTTTCTAAATTACATGTTCTAATGTATCAATGTATCTGACACTCATTGATCTTTATAAGACAGATGGACACCTCCGTGCAGAATCATGACAAGTGTACAAGGCCATTCTTGTACATGTTGCCTTCTCTTTGCATGGTTATTTTGAGCTGATAAAGAAAATGAGTAGATGTAGGATGATGAATGTGAAAATCAGCCTCTTAAAGGCTCAACTTTAAGAACATAGGCAGAACATAGTTCAATAGCATAAAGTTGTAGTTTCTGAACTAAATACAGTCCTGTTTGTAATTACCACCTGCTGCATAAGAAAGATGACGGTACAGGTATAGCATTCTTCAGGAAATTGGAGATCATCTGACCATCTGAATTCAGCAGATGGTAACGTGATCTTAACTTTATTCTCCTGAAATAAGGCAGCACACTGAAATGCCCCGCCTGGTGACCAACTCCCCCAGGAAGTTACTGTAGTGGCAACAGTGGTAAATTGCTGACCTGATGAGGGACATCCATGAAGCAATCAGGAAGGAGAGGCTAGCAGTTCTGCACAGGACACACAGACGCACAGAAAGCACAGGGTTAACAAGGGTCCTGCTAAGGGGTACAGTTACATTACAACAAGAGCAGGCGACTACACCTAGACATCTGGCATGCAACATCCCCATTCTCACTTTGGACAGGACAGCCGCCTGGTTCAAACACACTGTGCAAGGGCCTAAAAGAGAGTTGTCATTTAAGCAAGTACAGGACAAAAATGCCAAACGAGTCTGTATTGACTGTACTCTAACTTACCACTTGTATTCTGTATGCAGAATTAAAAATATTTCTGAAAATGTTAAGACTGGATAACTATAACCAATTTATTAAATCTACTCTAAGACATATATCATTAGTTGAACATTTGTGTGAAAAAGAAACAGATCAACACTGTACCCACATGCATACACAAAGACATTTAATGAAGGTCATATACTCCAAAACTGATTAATTTCCTATTGTTTTTCTAAAAAGAGTGAATATGATACACAACATGCACACGGTGCAGACAATACTTTCTATGGGCCTCATCCCCAAAAGTCATGTCATACAACCCACAATCAGTAGTATTTAAGTTAAAAAAACACATGCTAATGAACGCAGATAATGTGGATTGTTAACAGTACAGAGGGGGCATGATATGTACATAGCATTCACAAAATCTTGAGATGTGGCTGTGCAGATTAGTACTGATGGACAGAATGTGTTATGATCTGAGATCAGACTGAGAAAAAGCCACACAAGTGTTTTTGTCATCGAGGGTGCCTTTCTTGCCAACAGGGAAAAGCACTGTTGTCAAGGGAGTGAGGAAAAAAGAAGGGGTCAGTGCCAGAAGCACAGCAATACCCAGAGACATCGGGGACCAGCAAACCTAGTCAGGCTTGGCAGGGCTACAACTCCCCACACTCTTTCCTCACTGGTACACTTGGTGGAGATCACCAGGTCCTGAAGAAGCACCTTCTCTACAGATGTACTTTGTGTTTGGCCACTCCTTAGCCAAAGAGCTATGCTCCTTTCTGTCACACAACCTTTACACAACGTGCGTCATGCTGTACAAATAGCAGGCAGCTTAACACATGGCATTTGCTTTAGTTCATGCAACCTGGTGGTTCTAAGACTCGTGCAGTGGGATGATGTTAACATGTATCTTATATTAAATTTAATGAAGCTTTTGTGAATGAGGCCCTTATTTCCACCCACATGCACTGTTCACATTTGGTAAAAACACCATAGGAAACAAAGCCACACAGTCACAACCCAGCTACTTCAGTACTGATAACAGGACCAACTCTCGAGCTATTGTGATTACTAGTAGCAACAGCAATAATTTAAAATTATTACCACTTAATAATGGCACTTTTAACAGCTTACAAGGTGTTTTAATTAATATAACAATTTGCTTGTTACAATATAATTTAATTGCTCTTTAAAACATTTTTTCCATGCAGGAATTTTACCTGCAAGTTCAGCTGAAAAAGTGCTCATACCTTTCATAAACATTTTTCTGTAAAGGTCACACCTTCAGAACTTGGAAGAAACAGGCAGATGGCTGGGAATAAAGCAGGACTGCTGACTTGATCTGCACAGACCCTCTGCTACAAGTTGAGCATCAGTAAGTGAGTATCAACTCTGAGCACTGTTTCTGAATCAGCAGAATGTTTTCAGCTCCCGGCCAGTGATGAAGGACCAGGTCAAGAGCGATATCCCTCCTTACCGATGATGACTTCTGGTCCTCCGGCTTCTCCAGCTTAATGCGGATCTCTGGCCTGGGCAGCTCGACTCCCTTACACCCCTCAGGCTGAGGCCTGGAGGTGGATGCTGCTGGAAAAAGAGATGGAGCTCTTACAACCTCAGCATGTCACACCTGTCCACTTGTACAGCTACTCAGGGAGAAGCTCAGGACAGCAGTCTATGGTCAGTCTGTGGTTTAAATAACTAAGGTCCAAGCACTTTCCACAGGGTCTGCAAACAGTGTGTTTTTATACTTGCTTTTTTATGTCACTGCGGCTGAAGTCATTAAGATATGCCAGAAAAACGTAAACAGCCACCACCAGATTTTTAAATGATGTTGAGGATCGCAGGGTTAATCACTGTGGTAAAGCCCTAGAGAGCTTCGCCTGGCTGACTCTCTCTGCCCCCCTCACCTGGAGAACTCCCGCGGCTGGCCAGGCTGGCACTGCTCATGCTGTCCTCCAGCCAGGTGCTGTAGGTGAAGGAGTCGCGTTTGTGGGGCGTCCCCGCCGACGACAGACTCTCCTGCAACACACAGCTCGGCCATGAGTCTCTCTGCCCCGGGGGACCCGGGGGGGCAGCTCAGTGCTGCAGTGTTCGTGCGGAGATTATGATGTTTGTTTGATGTTTGAGACCCGTCTATTCCTGTAGAAGGTATTTATTTTATGCCAAGATAACTCTGCCCCTGATAAAACTCACAGAAGGAAGAGCTTTGATAAATCAATCGATACTTTCATAAAGACCTCTGAGGCTTAGAAGTTGCCCTTATCTACTTTCTTTAAATTCTCTTGGATTTTTAATGTATTCTTTGGGCTGTGTATATGCTGTCAAATGCCCTTCGGCAGTGCGGTCTTCTCCTGTACTATGCAGGTCTGGAAAATTAAGGTGCAATAATTTAGTCTACCTCTGCATATTGCACACTCACCATGCCAGTGTCATAGTCCTCCAAGGCCTCATTCTCCTCCACCACACTGGCAAAGCTGCTGGCATTGGACGAGGAGCGAGACAGATCCTGCACTTCAGGGATGGATGGAGCCCTGCAATACACGGCAGAACTACACAACCTTTGTTACTGAGAACCTGTCAGTGATGAAAACTTGACAGTGAAGCTATTGCATCACTGTGCACCTAAAGCATCTTACTGAGATACTGTACATCCTAATGATAAACCTTCTACAAGATACATTTGATACTTAGAGTAAAATATTCAATCTTTTAGACTAGGGAATGAATCGTAGAGTAATAGACTTCCAGATTCTTTATAAAAAAAACATGTCAAGAATGACCATTTACAGTCGTGCATTGGCCAGCAATTGAAACTGTCAATCGATTGGACAACAGCTACACTATGTCACCCCACCACTATACCAGCAACACAGCCAAACAGATACTTGACTCACCAGTTCTTTGCAGTAGGAACCTCTGGTGAGCTCTGATTGGATGAATTCTCAGACTTGGGATCCTGGGAGACATGCCCACTGTCTGGTGTCTTCTGTGTGCTGGGGGAGCACTCCCTGCTGGGGTTAACAGTGATCAAACAACATTACTACAAATATACAACTTACAACATTCATTCAAAACGTGAGCCTAATGTCCAACGTTAACCCTAAAACTAAAAACACAATTACACACACAGAGAACATACCCATTTATGGATCACACAGCTCATTATTAGTAAGAACAGGAATGTGCGGAAGTGACTGTTCAGAAGGTGCTCTACAAGCAGGATTTTCAACCCCAGGTGGTCTGTACCTGGAGCCTCTAGTGCTGCAGGTATTCCTAATCTAATGCTAAGAAGAGTGTGAAACATGAGCAGTACTTGGTGAGGTCCACGGTTAGCCTCATGCTCTTCAGGCTGATGCTGGGCAGAGATGTACAGAGTACAGGCCTGTCCAGAAATGATAGGCAGGCTGTTCTGGGACACAAAGGACAGGGGGAAGACAATACACACAGATGCTGTATCACCCCAAAAGCACACCACCATTCTGTGCTGAGCATCTCTGTGCCCACTATCAAAGAACACTCAACATAGCCAGTGGGATCCCACAATAAATACCAAATGTTATATCTTAATTTATACGGCTCTCAAAGTCAGACTGACATAGGACTTAAAAATATCAGAAGGGAAACATTCCCCAATGAGTAAAAAACACTTTCAGCCAAAAGCAAATACAGATCACTCCATCTGGGGCTAAGATTCTTGTCTCCAGTATATCTCAGTCCATGGTACATAATGAACTTAGCAGAGCGTTTGCTATCGAGGAACCTTTTGCTCCAAAGGATGACATGCGGTTTTTCTTCAGCCAGTGCCTTTAACCCTAAACTTGCGAGTTCTCACTTATGATCCATCTGACTCCCTAGTCAGACTAGTCACCCACCTCCCTCAGCTGAAGCTGGCCTCAGGCCGGCTTACCTCCTCTCCTGCACTTCCTGGATATTCTCAATACCAATGGCGCTGCTCCGCCTGGAGCTGAAGGGGCCAGACTTCTTCCTGGTCGGACTCTTCCCTGGGATTATCAGTGACTGCAAGACACAGAGCCAACAATCAGCACCTCGCACCAGTGGACAGCTCCCACTGTTCATCTTTTCACACATAGGGGGATCAACGCCACAGTGTAAACACACAATCCAGGAACTTCTTTAGCTTTTATACTGCTTGTTCTTACCTATATAGCTCTTACAATTAACGGCACCATATACCATTTATGTTTCTATCAAATATTTCTCAATCAGGCTATCAAAGCAGTAATTTTACAAAAATTCTGAAATAGATACATATGGAAAAGAGGAAATTATGTAGATAATATTTTTTGTACAGGCATACATAAAAACACTGCTGATACATACACAGCAGAATTAGCAGAGAACTCAGAAATCAATCAGTATGTTAAAATATATCAGTACATTTCTTAGAAAAGCACTGTACTAATTTTTGCACACTTCTGCTCATTATTGTAGCATAACATAAACATCCATGAGCACAACAATAAACATGCAAAAATGGGGAATTATTTTTAAATTAACAAGTAAACAGCAAATTAATCAGTTCACAGGGTATATTGTGAGGTTTGTTTGAAGGGGAAAAATAGAGTCGATGACAAGTGTGCTTAAATGCAGGAATACAAATGTGCTGGTGTATATGCTCAGTATTTGCATTTGCTTTTCTTTTGTACAAAAAAAATGGGCAATTCATTCACGTTACAATTACTGAGGAAATCGACAAGTGTTTTCATAACCCAGAAGCATACTTACAAGATACATATAGCCTCAGACAGCATAAATTCTGCACCAAATGAGCTGAACGTTCAAGTTTTCTTCAAAAAGAGCAACAACTATGTAAAAGGAGCAAAACCAAGACAAAGCTGACAGACGAGCTGTGGGTTTTACTTGCTGTGGAGCTACAGTGTGTAACAGGCTTTGAGAACAAATGGATTCATGTCAGAACTGGTGTTAACCTGCACTGCAGTTTGCTTCTCTTTCTCAGCTAGTCCCCACTATAGTTACATCAAATAAGCCTTTGATGAAGAAAAGCTTTAGTTATGAACTTAAAAGTCTTCAGTTGTTACACAGCAGAATCCTTCCATACATTTTTTAAACTCAGCATGAACTCATTTCCAGGTGGGGCAGGTTTGTCATTCTGTTTGTGAGAAGATATCCATACAACCAAGTCAGGAACTCTCCTGGATCTTTAAATTACATCTTGTATCGAACGGTTTCATGTGCTAAGTTTCCCAAACGGTCACGCTGAATCTTCTGCAGAAGAAAAACTAAAGCTTGAAGTAAATAAGGACTCTAGAATTCCAAAGTGTCAAGTTAGAACTTGCAAGGCCTTAGAGATATCTGAGGCACTTTTTCTAAGAGTCATGGGAGTCTGGAAAATCTTCCTAGCTAAGTTGTTATCATGGGATAACAAGGAGGATCATGTGTTATCCTGTGATCCCTAAAACATCTCGAAGAGATCGACCCTAAATTGTTATAAATTATGTTTCCCAGCCTCACTTATCCCCAAGTCTGAATATCTGAAATCTTCATACTGCACTGTAAACCAGCCATCAGCCGAGAAAAAAACAACACAAAGATCTGCAGCCATATTTTGGAATCCTTTTAGAAGTCCAGTAAAATGAATGGAGTGGGAATGGAGCCTTTAGAATGAGGCCTTAGTAATGTTTTGCTCTTGAGCAGATGCAGGTGGGACTATAAAATGCACTAATGGAGAACTTTATGGAGGCTGAATTCCGCAAGCTCAAAGTGAACTCTAATGTAACACTCCTACAACTGCAGTGTCATAGGATCTTTAATGAGCCTATCATGAAAAACATCTCATTTGAAAGTTGGCACCACCTGTAATTGTCCTGGTTACCATAGTGCGGCACTGGTTCGGAAATTCTGGTCCTGAGGGAAGCATGCCACCTGCTGGTCATTATGAGCCTCTATCCCAGTACTGACCAAACACAGCCATGCTTTAGCTTCTGAGATCTGTCAGAAAAGCACTTCTGACTGAATTGTTCTTCCTGGCACTATTCCACAAAGCCAAATCTGAGAAATGTGTCAGCAAAAGCAGACAGAGAGTAGGCCAGTTTGTTTTCCATCCTTGTCCAGCTGCCTGTACCAACACAACAGGCTTATTCCATCCATCTATCCACTTCAGATTAAGAGTTGCAGGAACACCGAAGCCTATCCCAGCAAGTAACGTGTGCAAGGCAGGATACACCCTGGATGGGAGTCAAGTCCATCACAGGGCAGATGCACACCCTCACCTTGGGACCAATTACCCCAGAAGCCAAATATCCTTGGACACTGAAGGCAAATGGAGCAGTCAAAGAGGGGAATATAGAATCTCCACACATACAGGACCCCAGGTACGGAACTGAACCCGAGACAGTAGTGCCAACCACTGCTCCACCGTGCCATCCACAAAAGGCTTATTTCTAAAGCTAATTCCAGTAAGAAGTGAACCTTGTGTTTGGCAGGTGGGGGTGTGGTAGTTTTTAAACAAATATCATTTCAAAGATAAGGGCCCTTTGTTGCCCAGTTAATAATGTCAGGGGAAAGATTCAGGTCCAGTCTTGCTTCCCAGAGACGATACAGTGTACAGTTCATTGAGCAAAAAGTAACCTTCTAAACCTCAGAAACCTCATACCTGAGCTTATAATATGAAAACAATTATTCATATAACAGAACCATTGTAATGAGGAATTACAAAGGTATGTTTGCACTAACAAGCAACAAAGGCAATTTTCTTTGTCCAAAGCTGTATGAAAATTTCCCACCAAAGGAATGCATGGCAAGCACAACGATTTAGGTGTGCATTAAGTTATGTGTAACAGAAGAAAAAACATATAACTCGGTGTCTGTCTCATGGGGGGAAGCATTAGAACATTCTGTATAGCCAGCTTGTTCTCAAGAGGGAAATCAACAAAGCCACTTTACTTCGAATACAAAAAAATTAAGTCTACAGGAAGAAATATGTAGCATGTTGTGGCTGTACAGCAGCCCTTTTTCAGAAAATGCTCAACAGGTTTAGATGTTATTCAGCAGAGAGAGGACATTCCAGAGATTTACAAAACAGGACCCAAGGAAAAAAAAATGACACCTCTCTGTTGATAAAACTTCACAAACTGGCAAGAGATAAGCCTGAGCTAGTACTGATAATGCAAAGCTGGGGTGGCTTCTCTTACTACCATGTCAAGTCATGCACAGAGACAGACGCCAAGCAAAAAGAGTAGGGAGAGTTATACATGAACCTCTTCTATTGTTCCTATCCCTATGGCACTGCCGCGACGTCCGTATTTACTGGGACTTTTCCCCGGGACAAGCAATGACTGATTCGCACAGCAGGCACAGAGAGAGACAGAGAGAGAAACAGAAATCCATGAGGCTCCAAGCAACAGGAGAAAACACAGAGAAAACATTTATATCAAGCGCCGCGGGGGCCAAGAGCCACACAGGTGGTGAAATGAGGAGAGAGAGAGACCAGGACGGAAAAGCAATATGGCAGAGGAACAGCTCAGCGATCGGGCCCTGTGTTGAAAGAATAGAGAAAATCAGTAAAGGAACAGAGAAATAGTTAATGAAAACAGAAGGGCAGACGGAAGTCAAAAGTAGAGGTCCAAGCAATATTAGCACACAGGCTATTTGTAAATCATGTTTTCAAGACAGATGCTTTTAATTTTCATGAATTTAAATGCATTGAATTGTTTTTCGTCAAGTGCATGTCCAGTCTATTCATTTCCCATTTTTGCCCACACTATAGGGATATCAGTTCATTCCCTATTCACACTATTCATTATCTGGGAACTGTGAATGATTCCTCTGTTCTCCTTGCTGGAAGACTGTATAGGGGTGACCACAGTCTCTCAGTGTAGAACTCCTGAATGTTATTTAGTATTTGCAAGAGGTTAGGTGGAACTTGTTAAAATATTATTTAATTCATATTTTGTTAAAAAGTACAATCTGGTGTGAATTAAAACTTCATGATTATTATCTGAAGATACTCTCAATGTCAATAGGAGAAAAACTGCATTCATCCAATCTGCCGTGTATGTTGGAGAAAAAAAAAACATGATTTATAAATGCCACCAGCTAGTTTTCATTCAATTGAATTAGCAGACTTTTCACTGACCATGCTGAGCCATGCTATATGTAAAAATGAAGCTTGTGTAAAGGCAGTATAATCCAGGAGATACAGTATGCAACAACCGAGCCCTAACCCAGCAGGCGGGCTGCCAAGCACTCTGTCACGCTATCTGCTAGCTAGACCAAGACCACACTTACCCACGTTCACGAGTCTCTAGGACGCCAAAGTGCAATTTGCATTCACTGTGTTAGCAAAGCAGCATGAGGTTACAGTTCAAATGGACAACTTGCACCAATTATTAACAGACATACCACTGATCATGATTAAAATCTAAATCTGATTTTTGGGGAAAATACAGGAAGAACAGGTTCCTGACAAATTATGTTATGCAGATATTTTATTCAAGTACAGCATAATCTCTTAGACTATAATAAGGTGAAGATCATTATTGCATCAAATTAGGATGAGGGTACGTTTTAGAGTGCAGCTTTGAAATTGCATGATTTTTAAAATTACTACTCATTTGGCACACTGTGGTACAAACTGCAAATTGGGGTACAGGTACTAATAATCACGACCTCCTACTGTGTCAGCCTGGGTAACAACCAGAACCTTCCCCACTGCCCTCCAGCGCTCTTCTTGCAACACCGTCAGCAGCAGCACATGACTCACAGAACTCACTGCTCCGAACAGACCGGCCGGGCAGCACGGCACTCGTTTTATAGTCTACACTTTGTTCACAGTGTTGAAGATGTTTAGTCTGTTTTTGTCTCTTTTCTGACACTTTAGAAGTAAAATCTTGAAAAATAGCAACCTGATGAAAGTACACAGTGACACAATAAAATGTCAACCATCCAACACTGCACAATGAAGACATACTGTACTGCTGAAGAAGACTTTACCAGGATGACTGAATCTGGAATGCTCACCGTTGTTTTTATGGATTGACAGGATCTATTATAAAAAAATACAATTCATCTAGTGCTAATTTTCTTTTTTGCAATTTTTATGCTGAATATGAATAAACTAACGAAAAAGTTAACAAGCAGGCATGTTCAATAAACCCGCAAAAAACGCTTTGGTTAAAAAGGTTTATATGCAAGATGTGCTCTCGGACAATTATTTTAGGCACTGTATCAGTAATGCACGAGGAGGCAGCAATGAGACAACCATTTACTTTTATCTTTATGAACCCAATTATATAAAGCTGGTTTACGAGACTCAGAAATACTACTAGGCTTCTTTAGCACTAATTAGGCTCTGTGAAATGACTGGAAGGACAATTTCCTGTATGTCAGTGAAGGGGCACTGCTGTTTAATGGAGACACACTCCTCTCACTACAGGGGGCTGACAGCTCTAGATGGGCTCTCGATGGACCTGCTTCACGAGGGACACAGGTTGGGGCAGTGGGCTCTCCTCCGAATCAGCGATGGAGATCATCACTCTCGCCTCTTGAAATCCAAAAGGGTTACTTACTATCCCAGGGGTTTTGGGGGTCTCTGGAGGATTGTGAGTAAAGCTGCCGCTGTGACTAGTGGAGACTGTGTTTTGCTTCTTGTTACTGAGGCCCATGGCGTCCATTGACTGGCTTCTGCTGCGGATCACCCGCTACAGAGAGAGACGTAAAAACACGTTGAGCTGCAGAAGTGAGCTGCGCGGCAATGGGATTGGTGGGGCGAGGGGGTGGGTCGGGGTACGGAGGAGGGAAGAGGGAGGCCGGAGCTCCAATCCCAGTATTAACAGATGGACATTATGACCAAGGTTGCTCACTGTATGATCTCAGAACAGAAAAACACAGAGCGCTGGAATGCAGTGTGGAAGGAAAGGCTTGTGAGTCCCAGCTCTAGTAAGTGGAAGTAATCGGGATGCAAGAGTTCATGCTACTTTCAACACACCAGCCTGTCAATGGAAAACCATTCAATGATTCGTTGGGCATTAGCACAGCAAGCACACACCATCATTAAGCACAGCTGGGGCTGCATTCCAGATTTGTAAAGATACATTTGGTCCAAGTGTGAAGTGTTGGGACACTCTTTATATACCTGTTCATCACAGGCTGTGTGAGGTCAGATGTGTGACTGAATACCAAAGAAGAACTGGGAAACAAATCTCTTTTAGGACATGAGACAAAATCCCTGAGCGAAATCTGATCTAAATTATGAATGATACATAATTCAACTTCTGGATAGCTGACAAGATAAGTTGAATGAAATCTGATAAGAAATGGATGGTAATCACAAATCAGAATTCAACCTGCTACTAGTTTCTGTGATACCGGATACTAAATTTGAACATTTCCCACTGAAAACCTCATTTTAGAAAGTTTATGAATAACAAGGTCTCAATATACATATCACACCAATCTCTGGTAACATCCATGTGAAATATGCATTTTATTTCTGCATAAATTATTGTGAACAGGGTCACAACCATTTTTAACAGTTAATCTGTTATCTATTTCTAAATGCAGCTGGATATCACTGAATTTTCAGATGTCTCGCAGGTCCAGTTTATACTGTATATATCACTTAGCTCTGTCAATGGTGAATACTTTTTAAATGGTATGATAATTCAGTCGCTTGTAGTTGAGTTATGGACGCAGAAAGGAATCTGGTATACAGCCCCATAGCATTACGCACATAGAAAAATCCCAGAATCGCCCCGCCTTCCTCCCTCCATTCCCATTAGTTACCTTCATGAAAGCCCCTTCCCCTCCTCAGTGTATAATGGAGATGCCTCCTTCATGTGTCCCTCGCCCTCCCCTGAGCAGTGGCTGGTTACCTTAAAGGACTCGAAGAAGCCCCCTCCCCCTCCTCCCCCGTTCTCCAGCTTGTCCTCGTCGATCCCGATGCCCATCATGGACTGGCTGTTGAGGTGCAGCTCCTCGTACAGGGTCTCCAGCAAGGCAGTCCGCGTGCGCTCCTGCCAATGAAGACAGTCTGTATCGACACACGAGGAGCTGTGCGCAGAGGACGGCTCTTTCATTAAGGATCTGTCCGTCCACAACTCTCACAGTACAGTTACAATGACACAGGTAGGGTACAGTACTGCAAGCCTTTTCTCTATGATCTTTGACTTGTTCATTAACAGGCCAAATCTCAACAGAAACCTGTTCCTCAGTGCAGTTTAAAGCTCTGTCAATACAGGCAATCCTGCCTGCTTTCATCTGCACTTCTTGCGCTGTAATGATTAAGGATGGAGAGGTTTTTATAGCATGTGCCTCCGGCTCACCTCTAGTTTTGCAAACTTCTCTGCTTTGTAGCAGGCATACTCTGCGTTGATGAGCTTGGTCAGAAGGAACTCATGGAACTCAGGTCCCTGTGTAAAAATCAGGAACACACTTATGGGCAGCACAGAAAAAAAGGAAAATAATAATAAAATGGTAAAAAAAAAAATTAGCAATCATTGCTAATAGCCCAGTGACTCTACCTGGCATTATTAAATATAGGCTACTACATACTGTATAGGATGCAACAATATTAGCTACAAGAGGGATACTATAATACCTTACAAATATTCTTTCTGGACACAGAAACAAACTTTTTATTTGAGCTTGCATGATTGTTTGAGCATGGACATTGAAACATTCTCACTCATGACAGCCATGTGATTTCTGTTGTCACTGCACCCCTGCGGAGACAAAGTAATCTTTGGCCCAATGCATAAATATCTCTACGAGCACACAAGTCTTCTGTTGCGAATCGGGAGCAATTTTACGACTGGAATCAGACTGTACTTTCCACAAACATTCTCTTTTAAAACAGCAGTCACAATAAAGTCCATCCAAACTTACTGTAGCAATAATCAGAATTCCTAGGACAAATACAGTACAGAAATAGCCACCCATCCATTTCCTTACAGCTCCATGGGAGAACTGTCTGCCTTTCTGAAACTCCTCCCTCATTGTTACCACCCCAACGGCCTCCACAAGCATGCTGTTGCCTTACATATTAATAAGTAAATAATATGTAAATCTGACAAATAGCCGCAGCTCTTCCTATACAAATGCACACAAAGCTATTAATGTATCTTTCTATTTTCCTTGCCTAAATATTTTAACATAAGAATACACAGTTAGAAATCTCTATACTGTCTATAAATGGATGGGAGACTAGCTTTCCCCTCAGTCCACTAGAGGGCACTGTGGAAACAGGACAGCAGCCATCCAGTTACTGCTTCTTGCTCTGTCATTTGTGCTCAGACCTGAATATTGTTTTGGTGCAGGTGGGTGTAAGTAACTGCATCTTTTATATACCAAGCAAAAACATTCTGCTGCTGCAAAATGCACTTTGTACAACAAATAACCTCACAGCTTTTCTTTATTTTAAAATGAGGTTTGCCTAGGCCTTCTACAGTAGCAGAATGTATTTACAGGCAGTGAGAAGGCGCCCCATCACAACCTCGACGTTTCTATTGTTACCTTTTTGAAAACTGCTGGGTCAGGGAGGGCAGGCCCAAAGAAAGGGACATCATCTCGAGCAGTCACAGACACCTGTAAGGGAACCACAGCAACATCAGGGAGGGGATCCTGAGTAACAGCACCAGTAACACTGCCTACCCCGTCACAAACTGCCACTTCTTCCAGGACAACCTACAAGCTTTCAGATTGTTGATTCTTATTCTTACAGTATAAATATAAGAATGTTTACAAATTTGAGGCCCAGCTACCCTGTTTGGCATTTTTGCATTAGCTAATTCTAATACTATTTGATGTCAAGCGGCTGTTTCTTAAAGGAGACCAGGGAAGAAAATTGAATATACTGGTTAACCTGGGCCATACTCCCACGATCTTTAGTGTAAAAAGTGGCTCCTGTTCTCAGTTTTTATATGAGTTCCGCTAGTTCAGGTTTCACTGCTGCTTCTACTGCTGTATCATGAAAACTGGAGCTGAAAACTGAAGTTTATTACACATACAAATGTGAAATCACCAAAAGACACCTCTGTGCAGGTCCGAGGATGACTTTTATACTCCAGGATATGCCAGGGGTGTCCAATTCTGGTCCTGGAGGAGCACTTTGTCTGTTTAAAGGGGTATCTCTTGAAGAATTGGGAGAAGCTGTTAAATTTCTCCATTTATCTGGTAAGTAGATTCAGTTAATTAAAAGGGGATGTCCAGACACACCAGCTCCCTAGGCCCAGTTTTGAGGTATACTGTTTTTCCCGGAGATTACATTTGTACCAAACTGAATTACTGTAGGGTACAGTTTTCATGATGCATGTCTTTGACTGGTTCAACAAACGTGCACAATGTATATGTACCATGGGTGCTTTGAATTTCTTTTGAAAATTGAAATTGCCATTTTTCTTAATATGTACCCACCATATTTGCAAATTCTAAGATTCAAATCTGGCGCTTGTACAAGAATGAGACTTGTGGATAGTTTCTTTCAAAAATACCCATGTAGACAGCCACTGACGATTGCATTTGTTCTCACCTTCACAGTGCTCCGACAGGAGCTGAGGACTGACTGGAGGAGTGGCTTGTCGGGTATTAAGTGCGAAATCTGTGAGAAACTGGTTTTACCTTGTAAAGGGTGTTGTCTGAGCAGGGGTTCTCCACCTGCACCACGATGTAAGCGTGCAGGAAGTTGGACGCGATCATGTCTGGCACGAATGGCGTGCTCTCGTCCTGGAACACTATGGCCACGATGTCATTTCCTATGTGCCTCTTCCTCTGAAGCTATAAGTATAACAGAAACATTGCCATGACTCATCGCTCATAAGATCATTTTTGCACGCACAAAGTCAAAAGCTTCTGCAGAATACAGCGTTTATATTTTTATGGCTCTTCAGAGATATTGTCAGCGAAATATACCATGCAGGCACTCTATGAAATAAAGCCTATGGCTACATAAACTCCAGCAAACCGGACAGCAACAAAATTAAAAATACAACAATTGTATGTGCAGTAATTTATACACAAAATAATGGTGTATAATGACCTGTCTAAAATGCTAATGTCTTGCTTTCCTGTAAATGCTACATAAATCCTAGATGCCATTAAGCCCCTCCACTTAAGTGTGTCCAAAAGCATTTTTCAGGATAGTATATCAGGTCTATTTAGTGAAATAAAACAAACGTGGCATAATGAAATATATGAAAATTAAAACTAAGCTATTTCACAACATTTGTTTCTGTTCACAATAATTTACAGCACATTTAAAGACTTAAGAGACAAATCTTTAAGATCTAAGAAAACAATTATACAAATACAAATATAATATACAAATGCAATCTAGTGATCCCACTGGCAGCCATAAACTACAAGTGATGTCTTAGTCATTACTGATGCGGAGCCTTTGATGGCATTTACAATTATTTTAGCTTCTTCTGAGTGTCCCTGGCTGCAGAACAGAGTAGCACAGGGAAGACAATGCTCTTTCAAGTGTTATTAGAGAAACAGTCCATAATACACAAAAGCCATCTAAAAGCACTCCAGAGGAGAACGGTTTTACCAAGAGTCTGGTCTCTTCTTTTTTAATGTTACTGTCCTGTCTTCCTAAGTGATTGCTGACTGTGAGTAGAGCGATTGTCAGCAGAAACTCCAGTATATACTGCACCGCAATGTGATAGCAACAATCTCTGGGCCAATAAACCAACTTTAATAAGTAGGAAAGAAGCCTTAGCCTTTTCTTTTCATATCTGTTAAAAAACATTTTATTTGAGTCAAACTCTTTATCGAAAGGTTGGGTCACAAGTTAATAATAACTTATGACTCAGATGTAAAAAAAATAGCATTACAAATTTCTGTATTAATCCCAGAAGAATTAATTTAAAGTTTTTTATTTAAATTAGGGACTATTAGAGGAGCTCTTAATTCAATACATTCAGTCATCGCAATAAATACTAATTGTCTGATAAAATTGAAAGTAGTTATTTAAAAAAAAGTGAAAGACTTATAAAGCTACTGAAATATGCCTTTTAATCAAACGTAGCGTATCTAAAACATTCATAGACAATGGTAGCATGTACCTAAAATGCAAAGTGCACAAATGAACGGCCCTCTGACAGAAAAGTCAATATTCTGCTCCCTAGCATCATTTGTACCCCGGAGTTACATGAGAATAATTAAAAGATAAAGCCCACTACCCTCACACTTTGCCTTTCATTCTGGGGTAAGAACCTAGCAGGTTTGCTGCACCACATCACACTGTAACCAAACCAGTCACTGGTGACTGTGACCAAACCATAATCAATATATTCTTATGTGTGCTACAGCCTACAAGGAACGTTCTACCCTGTTTTTCCAAACTGGCACAAATTAAACTGGCATGAAGTCTTCTGAGCAAGTCCCCTTTCTGAGGTATATCCCATCTATGGTGGGATCACTATTTTTGTGATCTGTCCTCACTGAAATGTGGGGAACATACATTTCAGAGTAATGAGAAATGCCTCTCTCCCCTGCCTTCTGTAGAATTCCAGGATCAGCCACGCTTTGGGACAGCACTGCCCCACTGAGCCTTTCTAGTCCTGTAGATCCACAGAGCCTTCCATTTCTCGTTCCAGCTCAGCCCTGAATGACCTCATAGGATCCATTCCTCGCTGAATTAAATTAGCAGTTCCTCCCATTCAGAAGTCATTTCTCTTGGCATCTAAACCAAAAATCTGAAAAGGTTTAAAAGACCAGTACATTAAAGCAACTTCACAGAATTTCTGCCACATAATACTCTTATGAAACCTGTCCTTTGCATTTCTCTCAGACAATCTGAGCTACTTGTGACTCTGCAAAAGGCATAGTGTGAGGGGTTATTGATTGACCCTCTCTGTGCTTTCTCATGGACTTAGAATTTCACTCTTTTAACAGCCAGGCCGGGCTTCTTTTACTACCTGTTTCATTTTCCACAAAAAAGGGCACTTATCCTTGAACAGATATAAACCACACAACACAAGCACAGAAGGAGAAACAAGTAGGTCATTTACACTGTGTGCAAAAAAATACCAAAATCCAATAATGATATATTTAGAGTAAATGGCTCCATTTTTGGATTTGTTTTCTCTGCCTGGAGAAGTAATGGTTTTTTAGAGAATGTGTTCCAGGCAGAGGTGAGTTAAGTTGATGTGAAGGAAGGAAAGTGAAGGAAGCTGTAATATGTGCTACATGCAACATTACAGTGCTATAAAAGTGAAAAACCAACATAATTACTGTTGTTTGAGGAGCAGTCTAGTTCAGTCTGGTACAAACAGAAATGCAGCTGAAGACCATGTACTGTAGCTGAAAACTATCAGTCAAATATCTCTCTGATAAAAGGGACTATAGCATTTTTATTGTGATGTTTTGCCTTCTGTTGCTTACCTGTTAATGACTACAATGTATCGTAAATATCTCCTTAAGGTCTGCCATATGGTGTTTCTATATAACAGAATGTAAATATCAATGTGACACTTTAGATTCCTATTGAATTATTTGACAATATCCATTTACATACAACTTTAGTTTAATTTATTTGAAAGATGAAGAACTAACAGACCTGAAAATCACCAGGCTAGCTATTCCCTAGAAGCTATTTTAACTCAGATGAACACCGTGTCGGTTCAAACATCTGCTTTCTGCCAATTAAAATGTAGTCTTTATTCCTAGGCTTCTTCCGTAAGGGATAAGGACAGGAGCCTGGTGCTGGTGTTGGATACTTTTTGCGGGCCTCTGATTACCCATAAGAGATGTGCCCAGCTGACATGCCAGGCCTGTGCGGAGCTCAAGGTGCTCACCTGCTGCATGTCACCCTCGGTGAACGGGAGCTTGGTGGACACGTGGAACATGATCTCCTTGTTGCGGAAGTTGTAGTAGACTGACTCAGTACCTGTCTGTCCGTGGGTCACATCCAGGCCTCCTCGGAAACTGGAAATGAACAGAGAGGAAACCTGAGACTCAGAATCTCATTACATTCTGTTAGCCTTTACATTATTACTCTTTGAAAGTTTCTTTTTTTCTGCTTGGTTCTAAATGCATCAGGTGAGTGATCCTCCATTGTGCCTCCGAGCAATGTCCTCTCCAGTTCTGTTATTCCCTATACAGCTGAACCACACGAGAAGAAACCCAAGATCTACCTTTTGCTCATCACTGGTGGTGGTGATCCATCCATTATTACAGAGCTCCTCTCAAATAATGAGGAGCTCTGATGGGGAGGATCCCCGCAAGCCGGATCCTATCCCAAAGCAGGACCTAGCACACGACAACTGTACCCCTGCTTTGAATCAGTCACCAGTCCCTGGACAATTTGGAATATGAAATCAAGTGTAGACAACATGTCTTTGAGAGGAAATTGAAGCACCCGATGAAAACTCAAGGAGAACATGCAACCTCCACTCAAGTGCCAGAATCTGGAATCCAACCCAGGTCCCCAGAGCTGTGAAGCATCAGCATTAACCACTACACCACAGTAACACCCACAGCATAGTGATGGAACTATTACTAACTTAATGGTTGAGCTCCAGTGAACACATATTTAGCCATGATATTCAAACAAGGGGTCCACGGTGGTAGTAGTGAGACAAATATACAGGGATAAAACATGGAAAGTAGTGCCAGTGACGTGTACATGTTTCTGTGCTCCGTTAGAGACCCTACCCTTTGAAATCATGCAGCTCAATTTTCTGTCCCAGGAACTCTAGGAATTCCACAAAGGAAGCGCTCTCCTCGTTGTTCCCAAAGAGTTCTTCCTCCGAGGTCTGTAAGAAATCACACACTTATATTGAAGACGCTGCTAAGAGTGATTAGACTGGACACATTTCACTGTCACTCAGAATAACTCATCCCCTGCAGTTCTGTAGCATTCTGAATTGCTTCACTAATATTTTAAATATAGAAGTCTGGATCTGGTTAGATTATTAATTATTTATTTGGCTGGAGTTTTTAGCATTTGTGATCTTTCAGCTGGGCATTTTATTGAAGCAATTTGAGTGAAGTACCTAGTTATTGTGCCAATGACAGTTGTTCTACTTATCATTTAAACCTAAAACTTCTAGCTTCGGCAGCTTTTGGAATCAAAAGCTCTAACCATTATTTCACACTGCTACCATATGAGTACAATGTTTCAACAGAGTAGTAACACTAGCCTATATTGCAGGTTAATGCAGAATTACAGATCAGCACATTTAATTGTATTTCTTTAATGAGATAAAACAGTAACATTTTAGTTCATGATTTTCAAATGCCATTTATAAAAGTTTTAGTAACGAATATATGATTCCACCCATACATTTCCCAAACAGCTTTCTCCAGTGCAGGGTCACAGGGGGAGCCAGGGCTAATTTTACAGAAGCCAATTAACCAGCATTTCTTTGGACTGCAGAAGGAAACTGGAGCACCTGCAGGAAACCCGTGTGAACATGGGGAGAACATACAAAATGTATGAAGACAGCATGCCAGGAACTGAACCCAGGACCCCAGCGCTATGAGGCAGCATAAACGGATAAATGTGATAATAACTAACCTCTACTTGAGATTAATTTCAAGTGAGCAACAAACAGGTATGTATTAATACCTGATTTATTCAACATTGAGAAAGTGTAACTTTGCAATCTCTACACTGAAACAACAATCTTGCAGTTTTACCGAGTGTGCAACAGATGTGCTTACCTGTCCAAATTTCTGGTAGATGACTCCGAACTTGAAGTTATTGCTGATGACGTGCTCATCAAAGGTGACGACGAGACGTGAGGCCTGTGCCGGAGAACAGAGGGTTAATTAGGGAGCATCAGGCTGAGCTGTGGTGAGCGAACAAGTGCACAGTTACCAGGACTAGTACAGGAGAGCCACTGGCAATTACTGATCATGAGAAGGAAAGCAGATGGTGTCATAAACTTGATGGAATTCTGTCTCAGAAGGTTTTATGATCAGTTTTATCAGGGTGCTAGATCTGCCACTGTATCAAATTATCTTAATGGTTTACTGATTGGTAAACCTAGAAAATGTCAGACTAATAAAACTGCAGCACTTACAAACTGAATTTACAAAAAAAAGTAGGTTTTACAGCAGACAATTTTCAACAAAATGCTTTGCACTTATAGATCGCTGAGTGTAGGTAACAATGTAATTTAGCTGCAGTTGGGAGGTCTTGCAAATCAAACTGGATCTACTCCTAATATGTATGTTTGTTTCTTAATGAGTGTTTTTATTTCAAAATACATTTTCAGTTTAAGTCATTAAACTTGAATATATTATCCTGAGCTATCGTTTAGGAAGATGTGCTGGTCTACAGAGATCTGGATGGAGTACTGGCACACAGAGGATATGATGCAAGACCTAATACTCCACATTTAGTACTTTTTTAGAATTGTATAATGTTAGCATGCCCAGAGGGGTTGGGCAGCCAGTTGACCTTGGACTCCTAGAGGGTTTTTTTCTCCTTACAGAGGAGGTTTTGTCTGCTCTCCTCCATTGTCTTCTGGCTTGTTCTTTGTTTTGAGATGTCATGTACTGTCACGCAGCTTTGTTAAGTGCCTTGGGGCAACCTTGTTGTGAAAGGTGCTATTTTAAAAAAACAGCAGTATAAATAGGTTTTACTGCTTTTCTTTTAGAAGATATTTGTACAGCAGTAGCTATTTGTACATCATGCTTACCATTTTGTTATGCATTTTGCTTTTTGCAGACAGTCCTTGAAAGACCAATCCCAGCTGACTGCAGCTAATTTACAATCAATCTTAGACTATACAGGGGTCAGTGCACTCTCTACTGAGACAGTGAATTTTCTCAGGAAGCATTTTACAAACCTTTGGGTACAGTACAGGATAAAATCTGTCCACATTCACCTCTTCACAGACGAGCTGTCAAATTAAGAACAAAAACATATTTGTTATAATTATAGCATTTTTTTTTAATAAAGTAAAATGTATTTTTTGTAGATTTTCAGTAAATATCCACAAAGGTACTTAGGAGCACAAACACCCAAGTCCTCTGGATTTTATTCTGAAAATACCTTTTATGACATAAGTATGTTTAACCCATGAATGTAAGCAAAATAGCCATGACTTTTATCCAACTGACTTTTTTTAATGACTTCACAGTCACAGTCACAAAGAAAGATTCTCATCTGCATTAACTGTCCCGAAAATGCTTAAGCATTTTGTCACAACGAGTCTCTGAAATTTTGTTTCTAGCGTGAAATGAGTTCTTATTGAGGAAAGGGTTGGGATTAGTCGACCAAAGCGGTCTTGTCTCCTGGCAACACAATGACCTCCTGACCTGACCCCCTACTACTTCCTCCGTGGATTGTAGTGCTGTCAGTGAGGGATGTTCCTTTCTGAGCCTCCTGCTCGGGGCTGAATTGCCCGTGATGTGTTGAAAGATTAGTGGTTCAAAAATGGGTGGATTAGAGTAGTTCTGTTTTTCGTTTTCTCTCCCGTGTGCTGTTACAAGATGTGTAGCAGTGAGCCAGGACATGAAAATACACAACTAGCGATTGCAAATTGGTATGTAACAAAAAATAATTAGGGAAAAAATTATTAGAAATAAAAAATAAATATCTGCCACAATAACTATTTCTTCCAAGAAGAGAATTTTCTGGAAAGTCTGTTATTTGCCTCTCAGGATTCACAAGTCTTTGGATACTTTAAACACACATATTCCCCAGTTCATTCACTTCCTGTCTATATTCTTTATGATGGCTTTTATTTGCTGTGCTTGCCTCAGGCTATTTTAATGTTTGGAGATCATTAGTATAATAAATTACCATAATGCACAATTAAAATCACAGGGTAAAAGGACAAATAGGATAAGCAACAACAAGCTTTTGAATTAAAAGGCGAGGTATTGCTACATGAACGGAAATCAATTGTCTTAACTCAACTATTCATCTCTTTGTTTCCAGTCTTCCTTTTGTTTCTGTATAAAAAAGAATACATTAGCAGACTATGGCAGTGCTAACAGAATTACAGGCGCTTGTGGGTGTCAATATATTAGATATTTAAATTTCACTGTGTATGCCTCACCTCTGCGCTGGCTCCTGGCAGCTACTATGAGGAGCACTGTCAAGAGCTAGTAGGCCAGGTTTTTGAGCTTTCCCACTCAGACAAGTGTGAAACCTGATTCTACATGCCAGCAGCACAGGATCAACTGTATCCGATAGGCAAGCTAATCAGGAGATGCACCCAGGAGATGTTAGCTGAGAACAGTCAGAGGCAGCTGTCCATTACTGCACACTCTCGCCTAACCTGCACCCGGATGTATAGAACGTCTAGTGCAGTACTGGTGTTCAGCTTAAATAATATCAGGACTTTACTGAACGCTCTTAAATACAATGGGTTAAAAAGAGTTGCTTTTATTTGACCTTTTTCTGGTTAACAAAAATAGGCATTAGCAAAATATACTCAGAAAAATACATTTATGATAGTTTTATGGACCCATTCCAATGCTAATGTGCAAGGAGGTCCACTGAGATCCAGTGTCAGTTAAGTAGGTATGGATATAAGTTAAAACTCTGGGTGAATTTCAATTCTGCAATGCAGGTCATTTAATTAGGGAGTATACAGGGTGCTTCTAAAGCTGGGAGGCCCTATTCAATCAACTGTATCATTAAAAAACTAAACCGTGTGAAGTAATGAAAGTTGTGCACGTTAATGTGTAACTAAAGGACAAAATCATCAATCATATTCCACTAGTTGTCATGAAATGTAAGCCTAGGATACACAACACTGTTAGCACCTCTAATGAAGCATTTGTGATAGTTGCTTGAATAGATCTCATAATTCTATAAAACCTTGGTTTTACACCTTACCTAATCTTACTAAGGACAGGTATAAAATCTACTGTATAAGGGAGCTGCCTATTAGGGAGACTCAGGTATCTGTGATAACATGCTATGATAAAAATCAGGATTAATCCTTCATTTATCAGGCAGTGCCTTTCAGGATCTAATTTATCTGGAGGTCCCGTTTTTGTCCCTGTGGTTTAAGGCTTGTTAGATTTGACTTGCTCCTTGTGACTTGCTTCTATGCTCATTCATTAAATGAGGTTCCTGACTGGTACTGTGTAATTCTGAGTCTCAATGGGGGCTTTTAACCTGTTACACTGATTAAAAAGTCACACTCAGTGGTTGATAAGTAGCAGATCACTTACACCACTTACAAGGCAGGATATTCTTTCACAAGACACAGAGATGATCAGTTGATCTGATTCTTAGGAATTCCAACCAGTAATGAAGAATGTAAAAAATACAAAAAGAGATCATTTATCCGAAGGTCATAGAAACAAATGGATCTATTGTACTGAATTTTGGAGGATGCAAGTATAGGGTCTCACTATTGTGCAGTGGTTAGCATAGCTGCCTCACAAAACACCTGGGCCCTGGGTTCATTTCTGAACCTGGGGTGGTGTTCGTATGTTCTCTGTGTGTTTTTGCTGGGTTCTCCAGGTTTCTTCCACAGCCCAAAGACATACTGGTACGTTGATTGGCTTCTGGCAAGATTGGCCCTGGTGAGATTGTGTATGTATTGGAATGGCAGCATGTCCAGGGTGTGCCCGGCTGTGAACCCATTGCTTACTGAGATAGGCTCTGGCTCCCCTGCAACCCTCAATTGGATGAATCAGTATGAGAAGCAACATAACAAAAAGTAAAATGTATTTCTGGCACTCTTTTTCAATGCCACTTTTATGATTGAAGAATTTTAAGAAATGTTAATGACCTCTTCCTGAAGGTTCAGAGTTCAGTTGCCTCCTAAGAAAATAGTAATGTGGGCTTTGGCCAAACAGTCAGATATTCAAAGACACCAACGGTCAGTTTGCAAGTAGTCAGACTGCCATGTTCATGAACGCCCTTACACCAGTTAGAACAGGAGGCCTATTTGCAGTGCAGCTCTGCTCTTTCCTTACCTTAGCCATCTGGACAACATTGGGGAACTCTGTGAGACAGGATATCGGGATTACATCATGATATGTTTTCATCTTAGTCCTGAAAAACACAAAGTACTTGGTCAGTTTTCTTGTTTTTGGTACTAAGTTTTAAGACTGCGTGTAAGGTATTTTTTTTTTACCTCTAGGTATCAATAAGATTTTCAGTTGATAATCAAAAAATATACAGTACAGGAGATGCAAAGTGGAAAAGCAAACAACCTCTGAGCATTAGAACATAATCTTTTCTTACAAACTGATATATTGCCCGCAAGTTACGAAACAAACATTGATAAAACCAGAAAAGATAAGTATTTCTGGTGCAGTTTAGTAGACTGACGTTCATTCTTTTCAGAATAAACAAATGTTTGACACTTCAACTCACCAATGTCTTTTAAAAACACAGAAGATCTCACATCTATTGTAATTGTCAATGGTATTTGTTTCGCCTTTTAAAATCTCTCAAATATTTATCATATGTAAGGGTTAAATGGTGTGATAACATGGTAGATGCTGTGCACAGGGCACTCAAGACTTCCACATAGATTCCCCCAGCACACATTGTACCAGATATATACTGAAGCAACAGGCTTTCCTGATAGTTACCTGGTTACCAAAACGTCATGCTTCAGCTACACTTCTCTAATCTTCATTGCTCTTGAAAACAAGTGAGGTCATTTCATTCAGTTGTGTTCATTTTGAGCCATTAATGAAAAGATTCACACAGATTTACAGAGCATAATCCATTCACACTTATTTCCAGCTGGGATTGGAGCAAATCAGGGTTCAGAGGCTCAGTTTGGAATGTGGCTGTTGAGAATGGCAATGCTAGGAAGAAGGTAACACTGTAACAGTTTCTGTGAAATTAAACCAATTAGCAAACCCCATTGACAAAGAACTGCATGTATTTATACAAAGTTCTGTTTTATGAAGTTCTATATAATAATAATTCCATGCTATTATATAGAGCCTTTCACTGCAGATGATCCAAAAGTATTTTACATACAGGTAGAAACCCATTTTATCCATTTTATTTAAGTGCTATTGATCAATGCCACTTATAGCAGCAACCTGAATTTCCTCAGAAGTCTTCCATCCTTGTACTGACCAGGCCCAACTCTGTTTAGGGTCTGAAATCTGACCAGATGGGGCTACAAGGTGGTAACCATGCTACCAATGTCCATTTTGAACAAGGTCTGGTGATTTGTTAGAAAAGAGAACTATTTATATCACCAAAAGAAGTTATAAAGGGCAGCACAGTGGCGAAGTGGTTTGCTAATTGGTCATACTGGTAGGTTCATTTACTTTGGGGAAACGGAAAAAGCCCGGAACTGAGTTTACGTTATGAACTGAGTTTTATGCATATCTCTGTCTGTGCCCTGTGGTGGACTGGCATCCTTCCCTTGGTGTACCCTGCGCCTTGCTCCTGTTGCTTAACAAGATGGGCTATGGCTCTCCAATGACCCTGAATTAGAGGATGCCTGCTCTTCTGTTTGCCCTTTGAAAGCTTGATTTCTGAAATACTTTGAGAGTCCTGAGACAGCATTACCCTAACCATACCCAAGCTCCCTTAACCCCCTTAAGATTTATGTTTTTAAACCAATATTGATTTTTGTTTTTGTACATTTTTGTACACATTACTGAAATTGGCTTATGTGTGACAATTGTCAGCTTGTTTGCTTTTGGACTACTAGAAGGTATTTCTGTTGAATGAAAGCAAAACAAATTATGCCAACAAGTCCTACTTTTACAAGAACTAAAAATAGTAGAAACAAGAAGCCCAACAGAAACAACAATTAAATACATGGGGAAGGACATCTTTAGAATGGAAGAATTTTATTTTTCAGCAACTCAGGTCAAATCATGTAGTTGTGACAAACCAGAAAATGGAAGTTGATTTGGGGTAATAGTGGAATTCTGAACACAATTTTAAAATACATGTCAAACATGAATCTCCCTCAGACTGCTCATGCTGGAGGAGAACAGGGGTATGCTTTAATGTTTTAATGAAAATTTCACTGGGCTGGTCTGATGCCAGGATTTCTAGGTCTCTCTAAGCCATCAGTAGCTGAAGACCTTAGACGTGATAAGAATGACCTCAGTTAGGTAAAAATGGAATAAAAGACCTATGAAGTGATCCACTCCAGGCCTTGGGTTGCGCACCACTGATGGAAATTGATGTTGAGTGAGTGCTTTAGGAGCACGGCTCACAGCGAGATAACAGAACAACTACCTGAGAAGCAGCCGGAGGTGCTCCTGGTCCCCGATCACGTCATACTTCATGGAGAAGACAAGGTGGCCCAGGGCAGTGTCCATGGAGTAGTAATTAAAATGCTCCTAATGAGGCAACACCGGGAACAAAGGTTAGTCATCATGGTTTTTATTCATCCTAAATCATGTCTCTGTGAGTTGTGGGAAGTCTGGATCTGGAAGTCTCCTGGATCCTTCAAGTACAGTACCATCTCGATGGGTTTATGGGAATGATTCACCAGTAGCAACCAAAGGTGATTGGTGAATCAAAGCACTGAATGGCCTCCTTCCTGTTTGCATTCCTTCTTATGGTCTATAGACCTTGCTATTGGTCAGCTCAACATACTGTAGTACTTAGCTTGGAAATATTTCTACTTTTAACATACTAAAGAAAATTCAGTAGTTATCTCAAAACCATTTTGAGCTTCTTAATAAATAATTACAGTACATGATGTACTTATGTATTTGAGCTGGATTAACAGTGAAGTTTACTGGTTTCATCTGAATGTTTGATCTGAGTGATCTAAACAGTACAGAAAGATGGAGGACTCCCAGACTAGCACATGTTCTGTGGTCTTTTCGCCTGCCTGAATTCTAAATATCACCTGGTCCTAAACTGTAGGGCACTGTGACAGTTGCACGGGACATTATAACCAGGAGGAGAGTCTAAAAGAAGCTGTATGCTTTCAAAAACTTTTTATAACTTATAATTTATAAAATGTTATAATTTATAACATGTATAATGGAAATTTGTATTTATCTCATGATTATAGTGACTATATTCTTTGGAAGTAGTTCTAAATATTAGAAATAGAAATGTTTCCTTCACCACACCCTTTAAAGTCCCTATCTGAACAACAAGTAAAGTTTAGACACCACAAGTTAATTTAGCCCATTAGTTTTTAAAGAGGGTTTCTATCCAGCTATGGGTTTAAATAGGGACAACAGCCATATGACACTGTCTGAGTTTGAGAAGTGGAGGGTTGTTTATTTTCACCGACATCACATAAATGGGAGCTGCTGGAAAGTTTTCCATAATTTGCTTAACGCTCGTTTCCCAAAATAGAAAACATTAAAGCCCGACACAATACTGTAAGCTGTACTGAAATCCAGAAGTGCACATTCAAAGGTCCATGCTCACTGAGGAGTAGACCAGACAAGGCAACCACTATCTGCATTCCTCACAGTGTCAGTCAGAGATCACAATCAATATGCCTTTTAGTCAGAGTAACATGAAAGAAGACATGTCCATCCTTTATTTAACATATTGTTCTGTACAAGGTTCTGAGCTGACAGAAGTTGTACATCAGTTTCTTATTTCGCAATTTTGTCTTTAACTTATACTGATGCATTGGGACACCGATCAGTTTAACAAATAATATCTAGAAAAAAAGCAGATGCTTTTACATGTTAAAATTATTCAAGGAGAAACTGAAAGTCTGGAGAAGCAACTGACATTTTTCATTCTTTCAATATCTCTGAAATGTTTGTGCTATAGCTCTAATGAGAAAATATTAATGAATCCCTAAATAAATCATTATGTTTCCCTAATCGAATGTAAAAATTCCTCTTTCATCCATTTTTCTCTAAACCTAATTGTTTTCATACTACATCTGGCAAAAAGTTTGCACAGTTACTCAATCGAGTCCTAGTAAATATTAGTTTAAGGAAGAAAGGAATAATCCTATTAAAACTACATTCTGTTGGACATTGAACTTCTTTGGTCACACTTTTATGGTTATCACTGGAGAATGTAATTGCTAATTATATACACCCTTCAGTATCAGGCTAGTCACTTACAATACATGTTCCTCAGGACAGTGAAACGAATGCATTTTATGGAACTACATGGGACAAATTAATGATATAACAAATGTTATTTAACAGCAAGTCAACTTTATCTTATCTCAAAAGTAAAGGGGGCAGTTATAAAGAATCTGCACTAGGCATGACATCTGTTAGTGGCATACACAGGCCATATCTACCGAGTAATTGAATGAGTGTCTGAATGAAAGCCAGTGGCATCCTGTTTCATTCCTGGAGCTTCTCTGAAGCAAACTTCCTCTTTGCCACAGATGTTATTGCAGCAGATGACATAGCTGCTGAGCTTTCATTTTCTAGATGAGTTTAAGCAAATTATATGCAAAAGTAATTAAGAGACAAATGCCTTCCTGCCCACACAAATACCTATAGCATTGTTATATATGTACATGTGCAAACTGTACATTGAAAATAAACAGGAAAAAGACGTCCTTTGTGACATTCCCAAAGGAAGACACATTAAATAATAAGACTGCAGAGGAAAGAAGAGGTCTACTTCAGCTTCAGAGAAAGAAGTGACCCAAAAAGCTGTGCAGAGTGTCTGCCCAGTGCCAGCCCCTCACCTTGCCCAGAAAGTGCTTCCTGTAGATCTTGGCAATGGTGTTGCACTCCAGCTTGGCGCGAGAGGTGGGGGAGAGGAGCTGCTCGCTTTCGGGGATGCTGCCCAGCTGGTGGTTGGTCCCTTCGATCCAGTACCCCCCAAACTGAGGCAGCAGGATCAGTGGGAAGGGGCTTTTCCGGCCCAACACCTAAAGGAAGCGACCCCCTTTAGAGATCAGCATTGAGGTTTATTGTGGTTTTGCATGCTTTTATTCTTCTTAAATGTCTAGCTGCCCTGTGTTCTGGATCACATTCCAAAGAGCAGTAGGCCATTGGCTGTGAGTCACACACATTTCTAGCTTTGATAAGCCCAACTACTGAGGCAAGCAAATCACTGGTTCTTCCTTCTCTGTCGTAGGCAGAACGTTAAAACGACCTATTTTCTGTGTTCTGTGTGCTTTTTTTATTTTAGCTTGAGACTGACATAACCCATGGGTTTAACACAAGTGAAAAAACAACATAGTGCCTCGAACCCTCTTTACTGTTGAAAATATTTTTAATTGCAATACAGTGTTCATCTTTTAATCAATCACTGGTAGAAATCACAGGCTACGTTGTTTCGTGATATTTTGTCTTGAAGACGTTATATGTCAAATAAAGTCTGCCGAATTTAAAAATTAAGGTCTTCTTACTTATTAGGACAAAGGAGAGCCCATATGTAAGTGCAGTGGAAAACCGTGCTTTTTTTGCCTGACTCCATCCTACAGGTATCTTACCTCATGGACACTGGGGTAGGGAATGTAATCTTCTTCCCTCTAGAAACAGAAGAGCACAAAAGAAATTAATGTCTGTTGTCTGTTTTTGACAGCTTAGAACATGTGTTGTAATATCTTTCTGTTCCTTGCTGTATCCCATAGTCATTTGCCATACTTTTGCCACAGTTTCGCTGCTTTTCCAATGCTTTGGCTTTACTTAAAACTGTGGTTCCAGAGCCTCTTTCATCTCGAACCTACAGCACAACTTAATAAAATAAAAGCGCTACTCTATTTCTATCATAAAGATTTCTCCCGAGCCTTCACAACACTCCACAGGAAAATCTTGCACTGCATCTCAAATGACTATCTGAACTCTAGTAAATATCAGAACATAGAGAAAATATTTGATCCTGCTGACAAAGGTGCAACTGTGTGCGAACGCAGCCCTGTCACACTTAACACTGCTATCAAAGAACCAAAGAAGCTGGGTATTTCCTTCAGGCTAACATGGCTCAGAAGAGGAGAAGCATCATAGAAATGAAGGGCTGGAGGCACGTTTATCAAAGGGCTGCATCCAGCACAAATGTTATTTCCTAGGAAGACACATTAATGGTTACATTCCAGTGTTAGCAAGGGAGTTTAAAGAAGATGATGAGTAACATGAGTCCTACTCCACGTTTTGGATACGATTCTCACTTGTTGTTCTATTTTGACCATTTTCATTGGACTGTGACGCAAAAAAAAATTGGGATCTGAGATTGCCAATAATTTATTGATTTTATGCCCTCCCAGTCAGAAATAACTGACTGTATCTTAATATCTCAGTTCATGGTAAGGCAAGAGCCTTTACTGACTGAGCCACAGGGGAGTTTCCACCCATTAATAATCTCAGCCTGACACACTGCCCTTGGGTCCCTCCTTCAGCTGTGTGAAGTCTCTTTACAAAATGTCTGTTGTAGATCCTGGCCTTTCTAGACCATTTATATTCGACTGCTAGGATTCATGGTGTGTTGGGCAAGGCGCAGAAAGTTGTTGCTGTTGTGGTCAAGTCTTGACAACTTCAAGCTCCTATCACTTCCACATGACTTCACTTCTTGTGCATTTTGGCAGGAAACTCATAGGGCAGTGGCGCTGACGCAGGGAGTGTTTTCATATTGAATATGATTCATGCTCTGGAAAAACTTTAAACGAATAAGAATGTGTTCACAAAAAAAGAAAACGAGTGACCTAAATCAAAGTCTTGGCAGAAATCTCAATAAATACAACGTTGCACCATATAAGCACTATGAATACAAACAAAGCGGAAAAGAATAAGCAGAATGATTAAGAAGATGCTGGTTTAAAGCATAATAAATGAGTGGCAAATTCTAAAATAAACTCAATAACTTCCTAAAAGAGACAATATGAGAAGCAACAATTTGACCTTTGTCCTTTTTCGTTAAGGAATAATAAGAAGCCTGCTTCCTATATCTAGAGCAAGAGAGACCATTTACATTTTAACCTTTAGATATCTTTCCAAGTTCAAGTAAATGCATATTATAGTGCTAATGAATGTGTCCATCAAATGTCTATTTTCTTATAACCACTGACGAAGCTTCTACAAATAAAGGTTTTAAAGCTCCACAAATCCTTTCCTACTTTTAAATTAAAGGGGAACTGCAATGCAATTTTTATATTTTGGGGTTACAAAGAATCAGCATTGATTAATACATTGCAATCCAGAATAGATTTTACAGAATAAAGTAAAATAGACACAGTACCTTGTCAATTTGTATCACAACATAGATTACATTTCCAGGTATGCACAGCGCTATATTCTGCTATTCAGAATGAGGCAACAAAACTTCCAAAGTGAGGCCCTATTACATTGTAAACAAGCAGGCTTGTGAATACATCTTTTAATCCAATATTGCTCTCGACTTCAAGACAGCTTTGCTGACAAATACTACTTGTTAACTCTGCATGCAGGTCACGTTGGACAATTCCTGTGGTGAAATGACTGCTGCACAACCTGTACTTATTAGCTCATACATTACTTCATTAGTCATTGAAGTAACTAGTGAGCAGGAAGGGCTCTTTTTTTTGCAACAACATGGTGACTTACAGTACTTTCACAGAGTTCACAATTTTGTGCTTAATACAAAACGTGCACATTTTTCTAGAGCGTCACGTAATATATTTTGTTACTGAGATTTAATAACCAGTCTGAGAAATTGGGACTACAGTTCCCCTTTAATATCTATAAGAACCCAAAAGCAATGGAAGAGTGAACGTACTTTAAGGGGAGGGGGGGGAGTGCATCTCTGTTCATCCATTCTGTTACCCTGCAAGAGAAACATGTTGAGCTCATGAGCCAAGATCCCACCCCAAGCCACAAGAATCGTGCACTGAACCCATAGTTTGCATTGCAAATACAAACAAACCTCAGAAACAAAGGTAAAATAAAGTGAAATGTGTGCTACCAACACACATCATTTTCAAGCTTTGTTGAGTATTTCAGAGGCGATATACATTTTAGTTGTAGCAAGAAAATTAATGACCAAATATTTAAAAACACAAGGGAGGAAAAGATAAAGAAGGAAAAGAGCTTTATTAAATACTAATTAAAAATGAAATGGGGAAAAATAAATCATCCATAGCTATTTGAGACAGTGACACTTATCAAGATGAAGCCTGGCAGTGCGTTTTTTTGCTTAAAACTATAGGAATCTAACTAAACTTGCACAATCCATTATAGAATTGGAATGCCAGTAAATACAGTTAATGCACTCTAAATCTAACTCTGCATAGACATGGATGGACTATTCAGCTAACGTTCTTTACTCAAATCTTATTAGCATTAAGGTTTTATCAGAAAAGCTACAAATAAAAGCAGACCGTCCAATCCACTGTGGTAATTTCTCTACTGTACTGGGTCAACAAACACCCCAAATATGAAATCCCCTTAAACTCCCCCTCCTCCTCCTGGAAAGGGATAAATCGTGAAAAAGTGCCCCTATAGCCATCCACGTGAGTTTAAGAGTTCAGCTGCTGATGTGCTGCTGTGGTATCCCATTGAGACAGATAACGAAGAGACGAAGAGACAACGAGAAGACTCTCACATGAAGTGCTACCCGTGGCAGTCCTCTTCAAAATGTGCATTGCTGTTTGGGGACCTCTAGCAAAGTTGGCTAGTAATACTGTATGACCCAGGCTCAAATAAATTTAATAACTTGGCTGTGATATGACTCTTTTTTGCTGAAATACACTATATAGTACACTTGCCTTCTATGACCTTTAAAACAAAATAACATCTTTAGCTATATAGCTTCTTATTAAAAATAAGTAACCTTCTTTTATTGCATTTGTGTTCCAACATACTCCCTCACAGGGGTTATGGAGAGGCCCAACTGAACATTACACTGTCCTATTTGACCTAAGAGAGGATGTCCACACGATTGGGAGGGCTCCCATTCCACATTACAAAGATTTTATTTGATGTATCTATCATAAAATATGCTGATTGATGTAGAATTATGTCCATTTATCCATTTGCAGAACTCATTTCATCTTTTGAGGGTTGTGGCCAGTCAGAGCCCAGCCTGGTAGAGTACACACAGGGCATGTCTGTGTAAAACATATTACTAAAAAAACAAATAAATGTAAGCTGAATGTAAAATGAAACCCCTATAGAGATTAAGATAGGCTCAGAAGTGTACCAAAAACAAGTAGGTTTATTCCACATTCATGTTTCAAACAACATTAGTGTGACTCCTGTGTTCATACCCTGTCAGCCATTTCAACTAGTGCTTGTACTAGTCAAGAATGAAATGCGATTAGCTGGGAAGATAGGGCTGAGCTTCTGTATGTATTGTTAGCATGGCAAGAGTCAGAAGAGTTAACTTATTAAAACCAGCAACAAAAAAGAAACAAAATCCAAGTTACTACTGTAGATGAAACCCAATTTTAAATTCAGTTAATAAAATAACCAGGACAAACATCAGTCCTTAGATTTGTCACTGGTATCACCTTCCAATGTAAATACAAGATACATAATAAAGTGAACTGAAAGTTATGTAACCAGATACTTATAAAAGAGTACAAACAGAAAACTGTGTAAAAACTAAGATTACAGCAGCTCCCAGCCACACAAATTCCATTAGACAGCATGGAAGATATCCGGTATATTCTTACAGTTACTGCCTTCAACAGTCCTCTGTAAGACTACAGAAATACTGCTTAAAGCGTTTCTAAAAGCACTGCAAATGCACAAGGATAGATTTGAAAACAGCCCTTGCAATACTAAAAGCAGGAAGGAACTGTCTTTTATTGTAAAAGTGATGACTGCTGCTACTGTTCGTCAACCAACTGTATGGCCGTGGGATGTTTTACGTGAGGGAACTTTTTCGGAGCAGGAATCCTGAGGGGAAAATGACTGGAATGAGTCACAGTGTGGCAAAAAGGTTGCAGCCATGAGCACTGAAAGGCAAAGGCTTGGCTTACAGGCCCAGTAAACAAAACAGACATGGGAGCCAGGCTTCCTGGGAACTGGAGTCAGTAGACATTTGCATCTCATCATTCATGTCAACTCATGTAGGTAGCAAAATTCATGAAAAGAAAATTGCATTCAGAACATACTGTACAATGGAACACATAAGGCTAACATAAGCTCTGCAAAGAGACTGAGGAGGATTCAGTTACCCCTACCCTAAAACTTCACCATGTCAACTCTGTGCTCTGATATTAATGAAACACGTTTCAATAGAGCTCTTAGTACAGGTGTTAATATGTACAGTATATTCTTATCATTTCATTTTTACTTCTCGGTTATTTTTTCTGGATTTTGTGATGCCTAAATAAGCCTAATTCTACCCATGGAAAATATTCAGTGGAAGTACAGTACAAGGAAAATTAGAGTTGAAAATTGTAGAAAATGATAGAAAAGTTATTGTATATTGTTTTGTTGAATTAAAAGGTACATATTATGTGCACTTTTCTAAAAGTTTTGAAAACATGGCAGAACCATCTTAATGAGACAGCAAGTTACAATATTTAGAATCTTTGTGCAGGGCTCATTTCCTGCTCACATATCGGGCACAATGAATTAAAAACAAGTCAGCTGTTTTCCGTTCCTTCAGTGAATGAAAGGCGATGGACAGTGGAGGCAATTAAAACAGTAAAAGGTTCGGGGACCTTTTAGTAGAACAACATATAAAGGAAAATGATTAGTGCACATTGTTCTCTATGGACCAGACATCACAACTCAGGGCTGTCATTGGCCACCTGTGACCAGGATTTCTGCATGCAGCTGCACTAGGATACTGTCAGCCTGCAGTGCAACAGTGAATCCTATGACTTTTCTGCAAGCTTGCCGTGTTGTCCACAAGAGCTTCATAGTTCTCCAGTTGCTGCTCATCCTCCTGAAGGCACTGTGGGGTGCACAGCAATTAAAATAGCAAACAGTCCTGGCAAATATGGACTTTGGTGGGAAAGCATGGTCTGTTTGCATTCCTGCACCCCCGTACTCCCCAATATAAACTCCCAACTCCGAAAATTGAAAATAAAAGAGAAATAAGGGTGCTTCCCAATCAATAAATACAGAAAATGGGACCATACAATTTTCCATTTCTCCACAGATGCAGTTATCACAAATGTGATAATGTGATTAATGGCGATCTTTAGCTTCAGTTGTTTAAGGTAAGGTTAGCTGATGTGCAAGATGTTCAGGGAAATGCTGTACACCTGATAGTCTTAGATATTGAAACGCTGGAATCTTATGGCCAGTGTGGCTAAGATGCATGATCAGGAACTGTGATCAGGATTAGCACTCAGATCTTAAGAGTCATTTACAGAATTTATTTTGTCCTACCTCCTTTCTTACACACCCCACACCCATCCATAACAAGCTGCAAATAGACTCTTCAGAAAAACGACTTTTAAGTGTCGTCTTTACAGAGAACTAGAGCATTAGGAAAAGGGAATGAAAACCAAAAAGATCTAAGCAGAGAAAAAAGCAGAAGCTAAACATGAAAAAAATATGTAATCTTACCTGCATCTTTTCAATCATTTCAAACAAATCAGTGTTCTGGAAAAAGAAAAGTCAAAGGAGTGATTTTTCTCTCTCAGGCTTGTCGGAAGTCCAGTCTTGTCTCAGCTTCAGTTGGAAGGACTGTTTTCAGTTGTATTTGTAGAACATGCCCAAGTCTTCGTGAGGAGCCTGCGGTGTTGCTACTGAAACCATGCTTTTATGTAATGCTTACAAAAGTAATCAGTCACACCGGTTATGCAGCACTGTAACACAGCACATGGTCTTCTTTAAACTTGATTTTGCTTCAAAATAAACTTGCATGCTAGCATTACCATTAAAACATTTCTTTGAATAAAATACTCATCATGTGTAGGTATAAAAACAATATTAAGCATGTTACACATTTTCCCAACTACAGTGTCAGGTCTGTACTTCTGTATGTAAAATGATTATTTTATGGTTATACGGTTTGATAGAATACGCATACAGTGCAGTATGTTAGAGTATTCGAATGTTGTTAGGAGGGTCCAAGCATGTTAGTTGAGATGCTGTGTTATGAGAACTATTGTGTGTTAGAAATGCAAAGATAGGAGAATCCAATTGAAGATGATCAGCTGGCTAGTGGATACTCTGTTTACAACACCAGAACCCATTCTGGGATCTTGCCCTATAACCCTCAACACCCTCCGCCCTCTTTTAACATCCTAGCAAGAGAGAATAACTCCAGTCTTTTTTTGACCTAAACTCAAAAGAGGCAATGTCCCAGCTTGTACAATCTAAATTAGGGGTTCCCAACCCCAGACACAGGACCCCCTGTGTCTTCTATTTTTTCCTGACGACTAAGTTCTTAATCACAGGTTGACTGATTTTAGTTCTCTGTCCGGAACATTTTTTAAATGTGCTTTAATCTTTTATAAATTGTCAGATGAGCTTTGTAATGAATATATCAGGCTTTGCTGGTTTCTGCGTTTTAGGGCCACTCTCACTCTGTTGTAGCAGCTGAAATAGAATCAGCTGGACTTCTGCACAAGGAATAAACGATCATCATGAGAGTGTTTTATACAAATTCATGACTCTGTTCATCTTACACTGATTACTTATTAAGAGATCTTATTTAGAAACGAGGTAAGCAGGCTAAGGAGAGGTTGTTTAAAGTTCTGTAAGCTGAAGCTCTCGGAAACCGTACCCATCAAGGTGAATATTTCTGAAACAGGTCTGGGTGCAGAGTAAGCCTGAACAAGCAAGAAGATCAATTAAAGCAACCAATTAGTATTGGAGATTTAGTGCTGATAAAATCGACAGACAGTGACCGGTGTTTTAAACAAGAAAACCACAGTACAACAACAGAAGGTTTAGTATCTTGATTTCTGAAAGCTGAGAAACGTAACCCAATATTCACCCAAGCCTTTTATATTTGTGTGTTCCACACAATACTTATTCAAAAGCACCTCTCCATATGCCAAAACACCACCAAAAGCCAAAACAGGCTTGGCGCCCAGTTCTATTATCAGTCCTTTTCTTCATTTCGGATATGAAAAATAAGAACAAATAAGGAAAGTGCATGAGGGAAGAGCATGTAAAAGTATATTTAAGGAGACTATTAAGTCAAAATATACAGGAGTTGTATTGGGTAAAGCATAAAGCAAGTTCAGAGGTAAATACAAATCTGATTAAAAGCATGTACCCGCATAAAATTAACAACTTGATTCAAGGTACTGTAGCTCATAAATGACTTATCAAAACAAAATGCCCTAAGTTAACAGCTCTGAACAGAACCACTCTTTATTATGTGCAATGATGAGATCTGCTTTTGCTGCAGCTATTTTACCTATTTTAACTTAAGATTAATTCAAGTTTTTACTTCAAGTAAAAAAAATAATAATAAGGATATACATTTAAATCTCTTTTGTTTTACACATAGAGTTGTGAGTGTCTGCAACAAGTCATTAAGCCATTATCTTGAAGCAGATTATCTTGTATCCTGCTGAAATGACTGAAGATTTAAGGGGGTATGAACCAAATGAGAACAGTGTGTACACATTGCCTTCTTTCATTTGCAACCTTTCTTTTATTTCTGTGTTTAACGCCTGTATCGTGTGAGCCACTACTGTTCTTTCCATCTGAGATTAAGCAGGCGTTGCTGACTGTGGATTATAGGTGTGTAACTAGTTGACTGAAATGACTGCGTGGCATCTGCATCTGTCAGCTACACAAGAATAACTGAGAAACAATTGTTTGTCTTTGGTCATAAGACAGGGGAGCTGTGCCCATGATATCAGCAAACGGTCTGACAAGCACACATCGACTAGAGCTTTCCCAACCATCATATTTGTTTTCTCCACGTGTCTGCAACACTGCTGCTGAAGTCAGCAAATAAAAAGCACACCTAAGTCTGTGTTGTGTGTAAATTCGCCAGGAGGCAGAATTACACTGTAACATGTGGGCCAGGATTTCTGTCTGATATTTCCAGATGACAGCATTCATTCAACATGGACCTTGGTGCTAGTTTAGCCTTAAACTGGTTACAACGTTTAAGAACAAATAGATGAGGGGTTAGCATTTTTGAAGGTCTGAACCCTATGGGCATCTATGCTGTATTTACTTTTCATTACAATGAAATGCTGTTCCATTAAGACTCAGAGTCTTGGGAGGTGTGTTTTTTTTTTTCTTGAACAAGTTGCTGTTGGCTCTTGGCTGTCAGCTGGTGTTAAACTGTGCCCTGGGTGTTAGCTCACATGTGCATGTACTGCTGATGCTATGTGCGAAGTCCTGTGACCTCAGTCAGATTCTGTACAGAATGTCTGTGCAATGAAAGGCATGAAAATATCTCAACAGCATCCGAGAAATGTAGGAATGTTGCAGACAGCTGTACTGCTGGTATCAGAAATAGATCATTATGAAAACGTATTAATCAGAAGTTTCTAATAAATGGACACTGCATTCGTAGTCAGATAACTTGAGGAAAAGAGTTTTGATTTCTTGTATTTTTTTATCAAACATTTTCAATACAATGGAATTGCCTTCAAAATGACTAACCAATTTGTTCTGTGCCTCATTAAGAGATACAAAGAAGCAACTCCAGTTTTCAGTCCTAAACATATTTTCTCTTCATTTCTTGTACTCTTGATCAATTATTCACTGATGTAATCCTCTGTGCTATCAATACCTTTCAGGATTTATCATACTTTAAAACTTATCTATTTAAACTTCATCTCAGGATCCAGAACTTACTGTATTTGTCTGTTACTACACTTTTACTACATCACCATGTACTGTAGTTTCCCGTATTCTAAAGACTACAGCAGTTTTGTTCCTTTAACATATCCTTTGTCATTCATTATTTTGTTTAGCATGAGAAAATTTATTTATTAAACTAAACAGTGTTTGTTATCTTCTCCATATCTCCATAATTACTAGCATTAGTGAAGATTAGAGGTGAATTAACAATGCAGACAGGGGTAAAAATATGTCTGCATCTGAGAGAGATGAGTTGATTTAATGAATACTAATGTTTCAAGTGAACCATATTGAGTATTTTTCTAGTCTATAATGGCAATATATACATTTTTTATTTCAAGATTATGCAAAGGATTTATGAAAAAACCAATAGCTACATAGCTATTTTAAAGCGACATAAAATAAATTAAAAAACGCATATTATTTTTTCAGTTATAGAGGGTGTCCTATTGAATACTTTTACATCACCTGATTATTACTGCAGCAACTGTAGGAAACAATTATGAAGGGAGGGAAAGACAAAATTTCCAGTTTTGAAATGTATCCAGAGGTGTTGTTAATTACATGGTAAACTGCCACTATAGAAATCTACAGCTAGTCTTGATCAAAGAAAGGGTGTATCACTTCGTGTCATAGTTACATAAATAAACTCCTAAGCCAAACACATGAAGACCAAGACATTGTCTAAAAAACAAATAGTGCTCAGTCAATAAGATTCTCTAAGGAAAACAATCTTATAGGAACCCCTTGGACTAGCAACTGCGAATCACTCAAAGAAAGACAGATATATGAACAATAATAAATTCACAAGGCTGGCGATCATGGGATGTGTCAGTCATATACTGTATGCCCTATTGCAATGTGATCTATTCAACTAGGAAATGTCCATCCATATCATTTGGGGACGTGCAAAGCCATTTAGGACTACGTGCAACCCGGCTTCAGTTTCTCCCTTTCTTCTTAAAACCATGCATACGGCAGGAATCTGAAAGTTTTGCAACTTTTTTGAAACAAGCCTTTTTTTTAGAGCTACAATCTTAACTACTGTAGTGACAAAGAAAAGATAAGAGGAATTTTGCCCAAGGACGACAAACGAACAAAATGTCATTTTTCATGTCACGGAACCCAAAGGGAAGAACACAAACCTCAATATGCACACATATAACAGCCGATGTTTATCAACAGCCTTGATATATAGGTAGTAAAAGTGTTTGGCACTTGTCTTTTACAACTTGCGGTGCTTTCCATCAGTTTTTGCCAGCGATTCATATTCAGCAGCTTTCCTAATCAGCACTTGGCAATTCATGGCTGACAATACTGCTTGAAAATAATGACAATAATGCATTTTCTGACAGTCGCTCAGATAAAAGTAAGTGGAAGACTTTCAGTAATGGTTCAGGTATGCCAGCACACACTGACGTTTGGCAATGTTGCAAGCAACCTCCCTTGCTTTTTGTTCTAGCCAGCTTGCCACCTACAGAGAAATAATTCCAAAGTGCCATGTGTATATGTGCCCTAAGACCTATCTATGTGAGGGCCTTACAGGAAGCGATAAACTATTTGGAACACTCCCCAGAACATCTGAGCATTAACTTATCCTCACTGTCGAACAGCAAACCTCCTATCTTTCAACTACATTTAAGAAAACAGCCTAAAGTAGCCACTGAATTACATTAAGTGATCCCCATAAAATGTGACAACCAACGAGCATTCTTAAGTATCATTTTAATATCGTTTTACAAGACAAGCCTAAAGAAGAGGAACCAAATATGAATGAATGTGTAAGTAAATTCAGTAATAAAAATGGAGACAATATTAAC